TTGAAAAGTCTGACAGCTGATTCAGCTCTGTTAGGCCATGGGGTTCTTGAACCACAGGGACATTCCTTGATACCATGAGTTCGGTAATAAGTCAGAAAGTCTTCTTGAAAGAAAGCTTCATCACCTACAATGGCTTTAGGCATACAATTGTGTTCATCACTCCACAACCTTAGAGCCTGAATGGTCTCCTTGTTGTTCAGTGAGTTTTGTGCCGTAGCCCAAAGTAAGTTGGTTGCACCATCAAGAACAAGCAACACCATGTACTTGTTCTTCCTCAACTGAATTTCAGCATGATCAACAAAGATAACATCTCCAAAGTTGGTGGATCGTATGCCTGAAATTCTGGCTCGCGGCGGTGGTGCAATGGAAGTACTACACACACGACACTTGTTGTACATCTCCTCATACTTCTGATAGACAGAGTCAGGAAGTCCTAACATGGAAGTCCTTCGTCTGAATTGAGTAGGAGACATGTGATAGTGTTTGATATGAAGCTTGTAAAGTTCCACACTATCCTCCAGTTTCCTGAGCATCTTTCTGTATGCTGGTGTCATGGCTTGCACTTCACTACCAGGCAGTGGAATCGAAACTCGCCTAGGCTCAAGAGCATCACTACCTAGTTTCTCAACTTGACTTTCTGAATCTTGCTTACCACGGTTGCGCGCAGGTGCAGAATGTTTTGGTTCAATGACTTGAGGTTCATCTGAATCAATTTTGTCCAAACCTAACTCCCTAGCTACCTTATCAAGCTCATCTTCTTCATCAAGCTTGGGATAGGAGACAACAACCTTCTTTCTTGATGAACCTGATTGAGAGTCATCGACAACCTGAGGTTTCTGCTTACCTACGTGTCTTTTGGCTGCAGGTGGACCTACCTCAATCTTTTTCGAGCCTGGTCCATTTGAAATCGGTTTGCCTTCCTCCTTCTTTAAGGAGCTTGGCTTCTTCTTCTGTACACCTGATGGCACTGAAGAGGCTGACTCAGGGTGAAAAAGATCATCAATGTTTCCACGAAAGGGCTTTGCACGATCAATGTCACTTCTGACAATGTCATCTGGGATCACGTAGTCCTCCTTGATCTTGTAGATGGTCTTGCCCTTCCAGAACTCTTCACTCTGTTCAGAAAACCTCTTCTTCTCAGTGCGCCAGTTGTCCTTGTGAAGAACCTTCTTCTTGCTCTTCTGGAATTCCATGTGGGTTTCTCTCTCATCAAGAAGTTGATCTTTTGGAATTGGAGTTTTCTCTGATCGAGTCATCTCATGTAAGTTCATTCTCTTGTCCTTGTGGTGCCTGATGAGTTCACGACGTAGTGGATCAACCTGCCAGTAGTCACCAGTCACCAAAGCTTCTCCTTCATGATCATCTTGTTTGACAGCAATCTGGCTGTACTCAAAGTGATCGTGTTGTGAATAGAAACTTTTGACTTGTGGAGTCTTGAAATGAACTTGGCTCATGTACCATGCTACATCTTGTAGGTCGAGAATGAGATGAGTACTAATGGCTGTCCTCAAAACCATTTTTCTCATGCCAATACGTGCACAGGACAAATAAGCCTTCTCTGGAGTAAGTTCAAATTGAAATCCAAGGTTTCTCATCTGTGGAAGTGACATCAATAACGGGACATCACCTTCTTCGACAATGTCGAATTCTGTAAACTGAGTGTTCCATCCATGATCATACATGAATATCACGAGCTTCTCAGTACATTTTGATTGTTGTGAGTTTGCAAAGAAGAATCTTGAACTTGTTGGCTGAATTTCATACCAGAGTCCACTGTTGGGATGTGAGTCAACATATCTGCAAAATGCTTCAACTGCTCGTCGAGAGCCCATAGCTCTTGTGCATCCAAGATCCAGAATACACACAGTTGGTGGTGCAGAATTCTCTGTGTGAAAAGCTAGTCCATTCTCACATGCCAGATCAGTTTGTACAGTATGAAATGAAAAAGCACTCTGCTGTGATGGTTCCTCTATCTCTGTAGAGCATCCATATGAAAACAATGATGTGCCTTCTGCCAATGGCTTCCATGAAGCCTCACCTTCTTGAAGACCAACTTGCCTGGGCACTACAGCTGGACGTTGTTGTACACCTTGTCGTAGTGCACCAACTTCTCCAACCAGAACAGGGAATCTCTTCATTTCTCTCCTGTTTTGATGTGCTCTTGCATCACGTTGGTTCTGTCCTCCACGACGAGTACGTCGTTGTTCATCTTGTGCTGCATACGTGGATGTCAAAACATCAACACGTGCTGGCTCTGTCTCTGCAACATCAACACGTGCTGGTTCAGTTGTTCCAAATGAAAAGAAACCATGACCAGAACTTGAAGCTGCAGAAGAATAATGAGCTTGTTGAGTTGGTTGATTCTGTATGGCAGGAGCTGATGTGGTCTGAGGTTGAACATAGTTCGACTTGCCTTTTCCATCTCCTGGCTTTCCTCCTTTTCCATCATCATCCTTGCCTTTCTTGCCTTTCTTTCCTTTTCCTTTTCCTTTTCCTTTCCTCTGGAAGTATCCATACTCATCCATGTAGTACAGATCATCATAGGCCCAATAGCCTTCATTCCAGGTTTGATCATCGGCCCAATAGCCGTCATAGTTTTCATTCCATTCATCTTCTTGCCATTCATCTTCATAATCTTCTTCACTCACCATGTGAGCACGGCCTTTTCTTCTTCCTTTTCCTCGGCCTTTTCCTTTTCTTGATTTGAAGAACCTTCGTCCTCCTCTGCCTTTTCCTTTTCCTTTTCTCTTTCCTTTACCTTTGCCTCGTCTGATGTATTTGCCTTGGAACCTTCTCTGATACCATGTGAAGTTGGCGTCATCATAAACCCAGAAAACATCTTCTAAAGCATCCAGGAATCCTTCTGCGCCGTCTTCTTCATCTTCGGCCCAATAGCCGTCGGTTCCTTCTAATTCACCTTCATCCAGTACGAGGAAAGATCTTCTCTGTGCCATGCCAGAGGGTTGCATCAATGGATTGTCAACTGCTGTTTTGGTAGTGCAAAACATTTCCAAAAACAGGTCACGTAGTTCTTGAATGCTGTATCGATCGAGGGTTCGTCCACGATGTGTCATGATACTTGTGAGTGTGTTTCTCTGATCTTGACTCAGGTCAGCTAGACTTACAAAAATCAATGCTAGCAAATTTTCACCCAGTGGGAATGCTTGTCGCTGTACTTGTCTACGATCTTCCTGAAATTGTCTGAATGCCGCTAGTGCCAGTTCATCTGACCAAGGAACAGCTACATGGGGTGTTCCTGAGGCTGCTGCTACTTCAGCTCTTTCTTGTTGATCTCGTTCATGTTCTTGACGTCGTTGTTGAACAAACAGGATTGCTTCAGGACTAGTCACTGTTACTTCTGGAAGTAAATCCATCCAAGACTCAATAAGTCTATTGCCAGTGAGTTGAAATCTAGTCATCCACTTCTGAAGATCCATGGTTCCTCTGTTGAACTTCATGAACTGCATGAAACGGTATAAGAACACGTTCTGGGCACCTTTGATGAAATGAGGTCGTAGAAATCTTTTGAAATAAGCCACTCCTTCATAGGGATCCCTGAGTAATTCTCTATCCAATAGCCTCTTGTATTGTTGAGCTTCTCCTTCCAGTCTGTTGCGCAATGCTGGACCACGTTTCTCTGGTTCTAACTCCGTAATGTCACACCAGTCATCAATTGCATCCTCAAAAGCAAAGAAGCTGGTTCGCCCATCATAGGCTGGAGCAACCTTTGTGGTCATCTGTTGCGTCATATGAATCTGTGTATGCTGGGGTGCTCTTCTCATTGCATAAGAGTCATATTGGTTCCATTCATTTGCATCGACAATGTCGAAGTCATCATCATCATAGCCATGGCTTGCCATTTCTTGGGCTCTACCTGGAGCTCACCCTCAATGAGGGATCACAGCTCCGCTACCACTTGAAGAGGGGCCCTAGCGTCTACTTCAAGATCAGCTAAGGCGTCTTCCCCAATGACAGCACTTGTTTTACTCTCAGCCTGTTGCCGGTCAGTGCTTGTCTACAGGGTTACTCTATATACCTCTTTCTTGAGCCTTGAAGGGCGCATATAAATGTGCTCAATACTCATGCATGTACCTATGTAGGTATTAGGTCGAAACAAAAACAGGGGGTGGGGGTCCGGGGACCGGGCTCATATATATACATACATCGTTTTCCAAGTCTCAGCTGCATCCACGCTTCACTTCCGGTAAATTTTGGCCGTATCCCAGATACACACATGATACAAATGGAGCCTATAAGTTTTGGAATCTTGGAAAGTTACCTACCCTCTCGTAAACTAACATAGCCATGGAAAATCAGCATAATTTTAATAGCTACATCAACTATATATCAACTATATATAGAAATGGGCCATGTTCAATAGCTATTTTGACATAACCAATAGCTATTTAATATCACAATGTTTTACACCAGGACTTCGGGGATCCCACTGAGTCAAAATCTCATCCCACAGCTTTTTTTGGCTATATACAGTACGTATATATGATACGAATGTTAATTGATGTTATGTGTATATGATTATGTGTATATATACATATATATGTATATATATGATTATATGTATATAATATATATGATTATATGTATATAATATATATGATTATATGTATATGATTATATGTACGATATTGTTATAGATGAGATGCCCATTCGTATAAGCAACCAGCTACTAACATAGCCACAAAAAGAGTCCATGATCCATGACCCAACTTGTGAATCAACAAGAATCAGATTCTAACCCGACACAATCTGGATGATCATGATCAGCATATGTTTTCCAATTCTATTCTGGGACCTTTCTTCGGGTCCGAGCATGCCTCTTGGAGATATTTTTTCTGTCTCGCGAAGGTTCCTTTGCCCCCGCTCCAATTTACCCGCTGGGACTGCCGATTTCAAGTTTGGGGGGTTTGGAACAGCCAAGAAAATGCTGATCACGCTGTGTTTCTGTTCAAATTAGGAATAAATCACCCAAAAAAACAAATCAAATCTCTGGCTCTCAGGTGGAAAACCATCAGCTGGCCCAGCAGTCGTCATGCATACACGGCACCGGCACATCAGGGCCCCTTTTAGAGGCCTGCCTTGCCTTGCACCATGGGCCCAAAGGGTTCACCTGTGCAGAGTTTGGGTGGAAACATGGCAAAACTCTTTTCATCTGGCTGCTCGAATGTTGTCACTAGTCACTTGTGCCATTTGCTGTCATTTGGATCAGTCTTCATGACATCATAGTGATGATATTCGCAATTGTGCTCTATCACCTGCCGCTTTCACAGGGGTAAGAAAGAAACACCGAGCTGAAAACGAAAAGCTATGAGTTGCACACATGGAGATCTGCAATATGCTGCATGTACTCCCCCACCATAGCTCGCCTTAGCTGAGCTATCCCAAATAATGCTTAACTTTGAATTTAGCTGGATGTATACATACAATATATATATATATTTATTTATTTATATTATATATACAGATTGTGGGCGTCAGCATCAATCTCACTATAGATAACCATAGCAGTGTTTTCAAAAGATGTATTAACCTGCTTAACAACCCTGGTCACAAGGACTGAATACCTACTTAATATAGATGCCCCGAACGGGTTTAAGCGAAAAGCTTTCGGAAACACTACATTTGGAGGTCAGAAAGCTTAGCGTAAAGCAATTAAATACAAGTTCTCTCCAAAGTTTCCGCCATCACGAGTGTCTTATCTTTCTCCATACACATCGCCAGTTTCAAAGTGTTTGGTCTTTCTTCCAAACAAAAGATAGGGAATATCAATCTCCCCATGTTTCTTGATTTTCCGGTGGTATGGACGTCCCTTTCTTCCCTGGTTCTGATGTTTTCTTATGCGGCCAGGGCACATCTCGAATCTCCCATCTTGCCACCCGCCTGTGGCTATTTTTCTACTTGCCTTGGAGGTCGAAGGTCGATTTGGTGGGGAAAAAACCATCCATTTGTTGTTGATGATATATGTGATATCCCCATTTTGGGGTAAGTTCCATCGCTTTTTCTTCTTGGGTTCAAATCGACGATGAGCGTTGCTGACGTCAAGTCCTCGTTTTTGGCGGGTTCGAATCTCCCACAGGAGAGAAACCCTCAGTTTCCCCACTTCACCATGACAGGTTTACTATCCCATCCCATTTTCCCGGTTGGTATCCCTATGGGTTGCAACAGTCCCGTAGGTCAACCCCCAATAAGCAATCAAATCAATCAAGAGGGGTCTCTACGGGGACCTGGAAGATGTCAGTTTTTGTGAAAACTGCCACAATTTGGGTTATGCCCCCACCTGCCGCCACATCTATGCCATGTGGCCTGTGAGGGGATCCGATTCGGCACTGGTCCTGGATGGTCATCAGTGGAAAGGAGGGAAGGTGATCGCAAGGCCAAAAAAAGATTGGCTTTGCTCTACTCAAAAAGTTGGGAGAACTAGCGGAATAACCCCATCTACTCATCAGTTTAAACACATTCGTGATCCTACAAGTACACCAAATCACTTTTAGATTGCCAATATTCTATTCTATCCAAGTTAAAATGCAATGTAAACCAGGTATGCACAATAAAGTACTTTTGGGACAACAGAGAGGCTGGTTTGTCAAACGACTAGGATTTGCACCGAGTATTATCATTACATTCATTTACCTGTTGTTTCATGGGGCTGAACCCTCTATTAATCAAGCAACTAGTGGTAAAAACATCTATGTTTAGTGTTGGCCCAAGATTGACCTTCACTAGTCACTACTGTTTCATGTGTCCAGTGAGTAAGTTTGTAATGGGTGATAACTATGTAATCACTATCCCCCGCAACTATTGATTGATATACATGCATGCATCCATCCATCCATCCATACATACATACATACAATATATATATATATATGTATACTTATATAGTGGTACATTGCCGCACTAACGGGATGCAAATCCAAGTAAGGTTGTCCAGTCTTGAAAATTATCTACAAATGGATACAAATGGTGATTGTCCAGACCTTTCTGTCCATGTACCGGAGGGTATTATCATTCTTATCAGTAGTTTAACCATTGTAAACCAATATTAATTACCATCTCCTCAACCGACCACTCCACCGACATGGACCCTGCCTCCGATTGTCTTCCCCTACTATGTTCCCTTGATGTCCACACTTTTTAGTGTGACAGATTGTGACATAATTATCATATCCAGATCCCTATTATATCTCGACTATATCCCCACGACATCTCCGTCCCAAATATAGATTGTGTTCCCATTAAAAGCATTTACCATCTGGTTATTTAACATAGCCATGGAAAATCACCATTCTTAATGGGTAAACCATCTATAAATGGGCCATCTATACCATGGCTATGTTAAATAACCAGAGGGTATATAAAACCTCTATTTAACGTTCGGGGATTTCCCATATTTCCCATACTTCCACTTTTCCTGGCTCAGCGCTTGACCCCGTCCTGACAGTCGTTGAAGGGGAAGGGTCCCTGCTTGGCCGGCCGACAGGCACCTCCCGACCTCAGTCGTCGGCGTTGGTCGTGTGTCTTAAGTCATTGATCCCCAGTCACCATGGCTTAACCTACGTATATATACTAAGTCAAGGTCATCCATGACTTGGATGATTTGAGGTAGGCTCCATGACTTAGGAAACCTCCATGTAACTCGTTGGGGAGTTGACCAACATCAAAACTGGGGGAATAAGAATTCCCCAATGCTTTGGGTTCTAAAAATCCCCAGTCATCAAGGGAACAGTGGGGTTGAACACTGCAAAAAATGGGGATCAGCATCTCATCCGTCATTTTTTTGGGTTGGAAAAAATGTTGAAACCAGACCAAATCACTGGTTTATGTACCCATTATATCCCATTATAAAATCATTATATCCCATTATATCATCATATATCATCTATATACACAATATATAATATTATTATGTTTATTTAATAAAACTACATGGTTCCCGACCCATAGACGGCCGTATGGTTTTAGGAGTTTTTCATCAACAAAAATGTCGTTTTCGCTACAGCGAAACGTCATTTTTTCTCATGTTGACGTGAAAAATAGGGTTTTGAAAATCTCCAAAACTACTTCGTTTTTGACATAAGTTCGTGTTTTTTGGGATGCAGCACTTTTTTTCCTTCTTCTCAGAAGCGCTTCATTGCTTTGACGGCCTTGCAAAGTTCTTCGAGAAATCGGTGAGGTGTCAATGGTCCCAAAGATTTTCGCCGACAGTAACCCAAGACTCACTTTTCCAATTCAGGGTGTTCTTTTGTGTTGACTCCATGATACAACCGTCATTGCCCCACCCAACCCCACCCAACCCCACGCCAAGATAACCATAACGTAGCATGACGTGTGTGTGCAAGTGCAAGAGAACATAGCAATAACGTAGCATGACGTGTGTGTGCAAGTTGACATGAACGTTATTGCCCCACCCCACCCCACCCAAGACAACCATAACGTAGCATGACGTGCGTGTGTGTGTGCAAGTGCAAGAGAAGATCACCATAGCGTAGCATGACGTGTGTGAGCAAGTGCAAGAGAAGATCACCATAACGTAGCATGACGTGTGTGAGCAAGTGCAAGAGAAGATCACCATAACATAGCATGACGTGTGTGAGCAAGTGCAAGAGAAGATCACCATAACGTAGCATGACGTGTGTGAGCAAGTGCAAGAGAAGATCACCATAACGTAGCATGATGTGTGTGTGCAAGTGCAAGAGAACATAACAATAACGTAGCATGACGTGTGTGTGCAAGTTGACATGAACGTCATTGCCCCACCCCACCCCACCCAACCCCACCACAAGATAACCATAACGTAGCATGACGTCTGTGTGCTAGTTGACATGAAAGACCATCAAAAAACGAAAAATTGCCAAAAAATGCTTAAAACACCACGGCCGTCTATGGGTCGGGCTCCAACTATATATGTATTTTTATATATCCCCGTTGTATATTTATGTTGCAGAAAACACGAACGTCGCCACGTCAGCCGCACCAACCATTGCTGTTCCTAACCAAGGAACTTCAGGTAGGCCTTGTGGCTGGTCTGTCGTGCCAGCTGATGCAAGCCTCAGCGGAAAAGGTGACATGGATTTCCAAGTGCAATCAAACATAGCAATGGGAAATCCCATATCGATATTGGAGGTTACAATGGAAAAATATGGAAAAAAACAATAAAAAGGGACCTTCCAGGTAAAGTCCTTAAATATTCAAGTTTTACCAGAATGAATGAACATTATATTCACTGGGTTGGTTGAAGGGGAAAAAATCGACCCGATTTAAGGGAGATCAGCCAGATATTTCTGTGGTAAATGCCGTTAAAAGTTACCCTCAACCAATTCTTGTTGATGTTGTCTGTGAACCAAACACGGCAACCGGAAGTTCCATGTTGGATGATCGTCCGATTGACAGGATGTGTCTGGTCCCATATCACTGGTTGGAGCCACCCTCATCCGCATCCCCGTACAAGACTCCACGCGGCATACGCCAGGTTCCGAGCTGTAATCTCTACTCAATCGGTCAGAATGGAAATCGTCCTGCAAATGCTGAAATATCTACAAGTACTGGAGCTGGTCTTGAACTGCTGTGCAGTCACCACCCCAGTCTGGATCGCCCCAGGCAACGACTGATCCAGTGGACAAGATCGCAGCAAATGCCATGTCTGTGGCATGAAGTTGCTGCACATTCTTGAGCTGATCTTGAACTGCCGAGCAGTCACCGCCGTGCTCTGGCTCGCCCCAGGCAATGACTGATCCATCGGACAAGATCGCAGCAAGTGCCATGACTGTGGCCTGAAGTTGCTGCATATTCATCAGCCGATCTTGAAGTGTCAAGCAGTCACTACAGCACTCAGGAAGGCCCCAGATAACCACTGATCCATTGGCCGAGATCGCTATAAATGTGTTCTTTGCTGCCTGCAGACGCTGCACATTCTTGAGCCGGTCTTGAACTACTGTGCAGTCACCACCATGCTCTGGATCCCCCCAACTGACTACTGATCCTTCTGCCACGATCGCGGCAAATGCCCCAGTTGTGGCATGAAGTTGCTGCACATTCTTGAGCTGATCTTGAACAGAAGAACAATCACCACCCCAGTCTGTATCTCCCAAGGCAACGACTGATCCATCGGACAAGATCGCAGCAAATGCCATGTCTGTGGCATGAAGCCGCTGCACATTCTTGAGCTGCTCTTGAACTGCTGTGCAGTCACCACCCCACTCTGGAGCGCCCCAACTGACTACTGATCCTTCTGCCAAGATCGCGGCAAATGCCCCAGTTGTGGCATGAAGTTGCTGCACATTCCTGAGCTGATCTTGAACAGCAGAACAATCACCACCCCAGTCTGTATCTCCCCAGGCAACCACCGACCCATCGGCCAAGATTGCGGCAAATGCCTCGGCCGTAGCCTGAAGTTGCTGCACATTTCTGAGCTGATCTTGAACCGCTGAGCAGTCACCACCGCGGTGTGGCTCACCCCAGGCAACCACGGATTCATCTGCCAAGATTGCAGCAAATGCGCCATGTGTGGCCTGAATCTGCTGCGCCGTCCTCAGCTGATCTCGAACGGCGGAGCAGTCACCACCTCTGTATGGATCTCCCCAGGTAACTACTCCGTTGCCTCCACAACACCACAAAGCAAAGGCTGCGTCTGATGCAGCTACTTGCACCTGCTTGGCTACAGCCGTTAGGTTTTCTCCGTCTTGCACCCCTGCAGCTTGTCCCAGGCATCTTTGGGCCAGGAGTTTCAAGTTCCCAACTTTGGAGTGTTCAGGGACCCAGGGAGCTCGAGAATTTCTCCACCACTCGGGAACGATCTCTTTACTCGAAGCATTTGAAGACTTTCAAGGAGGGCCGGGCCTCTTGAGATTGGTAAGTTGATTGAACAACTAATATATCTGTTTCTAGGGTTGATCTTAGTGGATATATCATATATCCTTAATTAGTTTTCCTTTGCTAAATTTAGATGCGGTTGGTGAAAACATCTTCGCAGCATGTTTAAACCAACAAACATAATTGGGGGGGTGTCCAAACTTGTAAAGAAGCATCTTAAGCCGAAACTGCACAAATTCTCCAAACTTATCTCTGGGACCCTTGCCTCGAGCCTTGATACATGGCGGAGAAAAACCTTGGAATATCTGAATATCTTCGAATCCCCTGCTGTTCTCACCTTCTGGCGCAATGTTGATCTGGTTCATCTCTCGATAATGTGATCTCCCCAAGAAAGGTGCGGTTGAACAAACTTGCGAGTTTCACTGCCCCTATAATCCCTTTTTAGGGGCTGGTCGGTTTCCTGAAATGGAGCCCCAAATCATCCAATTTCTGGCACTTTTGAATGGGAATCCAATGGTTTTGGTCCAGCCAACCAACCTCCTGGAACTGTGCTTTTGTGCCAAGACACAGTGGAATCCACCCGTTCCAGTAGCCCAATCAGAAGGGCCTCAGGGAGGTTCCACCAGGATGGCGTTGGGGACCTTGTACCATTTTAAACTCAGAATTTGGCCACGTTTTAGTAGGAAACCCTCCATTTCTGTTAAGGTTAAGGTGTTGTCTCTACCGCTGTCACACAGCATTAAAGTCAACGGCGGAAACAAAAATGTTAAGGTGGTACAGTATCTACTCCAAGAATAAATCCTCCATTTTGGAGGGGTCACGAGTTTTGAGCCAATGGGCTTAGTTTTGCGATCCAAGTACTGTACTTTGAAATGAAAATGCAAATTAAAAAATATATTTGGGAGTGCCCAGCTCTGACTTAAACACCCTATCGTTGCCACCCAATGTTGCATGTGTCAGTGTGACCCTGCCATTTCACACTCACACGGGATCAAGATGTGTCAAAGTTACACCTGTCTATCTGAGCCACGGTGAAAAGATGGTATATGGGGTATGGTCATCTGACCATTAATTGCGAATCCTTATAATGTTGGTAAAACATGGTAAAACAATAATAAACAACCTCTGATTTCACCATAAATAGGTGGTGTAAACCATTCCCAAATGGGTGGTTTTACCCACATTAATGGGTATAAATCGAGACTGTGGATTAAGAGCGCATAAAATTGGGTCACTAATAGCGGAAAAGCTGGAGTCACGAAGAGCGCGTAAACCGGGTCACTCAAAGCGCATAACTGACATTTATTTAGAATGAGTTTGGGTTTCAGACCTGGTACGCTATTAGTACACAGTCTTCAGCCCCGTAGCTTGAGATACTCAAATTCCAGCCATTCCAGCCCCGTAGCTTGAGATACTCACAGTACACAGTCTTGGTATAAATCCCTACAAGTCTGAATGGAATCTGTGACCTTCCCCTATCAGTGCAACGATCAAAGCCTGACATCTTCACCAAGATCTCTGCAGACAACTGGAGTAACTCTGTGATCGAAATCTGGTTTTTGAACCAATGGCCAGGTCTTGATCCATCCCATCCGGCCAGCTCAAACCTCTGTCGTGTTTCGTTGATCCCAATGTTTTGATGCGGATCGATTCACCCCAAAAAAACGACAAAATGCTCCCCAATCGAAACGCTGATAATCATGGTCCTGGATCGATTTTGCGGTCCCTTCTGGTATTTGTAAGCCCTAACGGCCCTAACAGTATGACATAACATGAGGATGGGATCAATTTGAGCCATCCAGTGGCACTTGTGGGCCACGCTCTCGCCACAGCTGGGAATGCTCGCCTTGGAATGGCCGGGGGGGGCCGTTGGTCTCAAAGTGGGATACCAACAGCCCGCAACCGGGAAAGGTCGACATTGATAGGATTTGGGGGGTTCCATCGTGTCAGAAAAATCAACTACCGAGCTACCCAATGGGTGGTTCCGGGGCCCTTACGAAGGAATGTAGTGGTTTCCAAATAGACCCATTCTGATATTCCCAAATGTTTTTGGATAGCGATCTTGGTTACCTCACAGTTTCCAGGTGTTGGAGGGGTCAAAATTGCTGTGTCCCAAAAATGCATGGCTATGATGTACTAAAAAGCACGACCAAACTCGGTGGGTTCTTTGCAGTTGATTTGTGATTCATCTGTTTTGGGGCTGCCATTCCTCAAAATTGTGATACCCCCCCAAAAAAAAATACATACGTACGGTAGGTACGGTGGTTGTGTCTTTTTTCATGCAAACTTTCGGGGGTCAGTGGGGACATCCAAAACCCCGTCAAAATCATCCGAACATGGTGACAGCGAGTCTACCGATAGTCCCTCATCTGAAAAGTTGGCTTATAATTCCACTAGGACTATGGCAATTACTTAAGCAACTAGTAATGGGGATTGTTGAGCAATGGGGATTACTTAGTTGTAAGTTGGTTACTTATTATATAATGGGGATTGTCAACCAACTTACAACTAGCCATTTCTGGGATAAGTCGAAATCACCAAGACCTTCCACGCGCAGGTCCCATCCGAGAAGCACTATAGCCTCAGCAAGGGGGAGTTCCATCAGTTCCAACATGGTATATATATATAACATGGTATAACCATCAACCATAGGGAACCCATGGTATAACCTCTAGCATCAATCATATGTTTCTTTCTGGACATTGAGGGCTAACCTAGCCATCAACACAGCAACACATCTATATTTTGTCACCTTTTGGCAAACGCCTCCCCTGGGAGGCAAAAAAACATGAGGAAATGCCACCCGTGTTGAAGTGCTTACCCTCTGGCAAACTAACATAGCTATGGAAAATCATTATTTGAATGGGTAAATCACCTATAAATGGTCCATTTTCCATAGCCATGTTCGTTTACCAGAGGGTAAAGTATTCAATCCAGGCAACTACCACCATGATGGGAATAGTGCCCATGACCAAAGCTTCCGCCGTGCGAGAAATGTCCATGACCATAGCTGCCATAGCTGTAGCCGTCCTCACCATAGCTGCCGCCGTGGCCGTAGCTGTAGCTATGGTCACCGGTGTAGTAGCCATAGCCAGCATGGCCGTGGTAGGCGTCGGCGTGGGTGAAGTGCGGACTGTCCGAATAGGTCACGTAGGAGTGAGAGTGATCATAATGGCCACCTCGGTTGGGAAAACGAGTCCCCATCAAGGAAGTGCACAAAATCTTTGGAGTTTTTGAAGCCACAGAAATTGATTGCTCCATATTAGGAAAAATATTAGGACCACAATACCTGACATAGAATATTAGGATATATTATGACTATAGAGAATGCATAATTTATAGCAATTATTAACAATTATGAACAATTTATAGATTAACATACCTCTTTCATGCTCTTTCCATGAATGTTGCTGCTTCAATCCACTCCCAGCCACCGAAGCCAGCTCCTCCGCAAAAGACCGAATGCTTGCTGCAACAGTAGGCCTTCTTGGCGCCAGACCACAAAACGGTCCACTGGCTCAACCCCACATCGCAGTGGTAGGGGACATGGCCTTGGCAATGGCCGTGTCATTCTCGGAGTTGAACGGAATTTTATCAGCCGTTTGTTCGCCCAGGGCTGTTGATCTTTTGGGTGATCTTAATGCAGATATCAACTCATCCCCCCATTTTCTGTGGAGAAATGCCCCCAAGTACTGTAATCAACGAGGGTTTATGAATGGGTTGACAGTCGCACGGAGCAAGACCCGTGCAGTACCCAGCTTCTCGGAAAGATTCCGAAAGGTGACTTGGTTTTTCACTTTGCAATGTTTTCCTACATCCATTCTCGGGTGTTTAAACTATAATTATACCTTTGAGTTCACCACTTGACCATACTTGACCCCTTTGAGACTGAAGAGTTCCCTCCAATGCGATGCCCAGCTGCGCGCTGGCACATGGACGGCATGGTAGTCATGGTAGTGGAAGGGCGCAGGCGCTGGCACTGGAACCATGTGAGAGTGATGCAAGGGATGAACGTGGTGCACGTGCACCACATGTACCTGGTGACAGTGGGGCAACGGTCTCTCTTAGGGTCTCGGTTGATGTTGGGCTTCACCCATGTTGAATTCTGGTCATCAAAGATCGCTGGAAAATCCCGCCATTGAATATATATATATATATAGATATACATCTCAAAGTGACATATGAAGAACTCACCACGTCTTCCGCGCACAGCTCTTTTTCAACCACCTACCAAAGTTCAGTCTGTTTCACCTGCTCTCCTCAGGTTTGCTTTGGATGTGTCACAATGTGACTCGCACATAGCCCCAGACCGAATCACCTCTGGTCAGCAACCTGGTCACCCCAGGTTGGGACCTGCCTTTGCAGGTATCACCCAATGCACTCAAACACCCAAAGCACTAGAGGAATTCAAAGGTGAGAATGACTGCAACGAATGGCAACTGGAAAAAGATTGTGGGGAGGTACGACGAATGAAAGCTAGATCCATGGCAGCGCCACCAAGTCGTCGGCCCAGTTGCTCTTGCTCTGGCGTACTCCCAGTAGCCCTGGGCACGCAGTGCGAAGAGGGCCAAAGGAATCAGATGGCCTAGCTTTGCTAGGTCCGAATTGCTAGAACGTCCCCTCACTAAGGTCATGACTGCAGCCACAGCGTCGAGGAACCATAGACCGTGTCGATGGCGGAGAAGGCCAGGGCTCTCACTCAAGGTGTAAATTACCATGGAGAGCTCCAACTGCGCAATGTGGGTCTCTGCAGGCTGCCGCAGGAATTGTAGTTCTTCGCAATTGGTAGCAACAAAACTGTAAATTCACGTTTTGGCTCGAAACGCATCACTGCTTCGATCACCTCGAAGCATTCTTCAATCTCTGAAGTCAAGCTGGTGACACTCTCGTCCTGGCAAGCCTTCACTGCCATAAGGTCACCATAGCCAACTCGCCCATAGATGCCCTGCTCCTCAAGTTTCCCGAAGTAAGAGCACCCATACTTGGAAGCTGAAATTCGCTTAAAAGTTCGAGCCAGATTCATGGCAAGTGGAAGGCACCACCACGTAGGATCGCCCCCACGTGGGCCCCAAACCTATGTCACAAAAGCAAGTAAGGCCACATCAAGTAGGATTGCCTCCGGCTTGAAACCCAACCTGCTTACGACAGCAGAGGCCTACAGCCTTGTGGCCACTGCCTGGCAATGATCATGGGCAACCTGTGAACCTCAAGTAGCGTTACCTCTACTTGGAACCTGGCTTGCGGCAGGCAAAACTAACAGCCTCCAGTTCTGCTGAAAACGCAAACACGGGTGCCAGCAAGTAGGATGACCCCCACTTGGACTCCAAACCTGAATCACTAAGGCAATAAGGCCACACCAAGCAGGATCATCTCCTCCTTGAAACCCAACCAGCTTAAGCCCACAGCCCTGTGGGCACTGCCTGGCAATGCCCATGGGCAACCTGTGAACCTCAAGTAGCGTTACCTCTACTTGGAAACCTGGCTTGCTGGGGCAGTCAAAACCAACAGCCTCCAGCTCTACTGAGAACGTAAAAAAAAGAAGAAAAAAAAACGGGTGCCAACGAGTAGGACCCTCACTTGGACCCCAAACCTACGTCACTGAAGCCAAGCAGAATATTTCCTGCTTGAAACCCAAACGGCTTGAGACAGCAGAGGCCCATATCTGTGAGCGCACTGCCGACACCCAGCTTGCTTGGGGGAGTCAAAACCAACAGCAGCCCACGCTGCTGAGATTGCAAAATCCAAGTTTCCAGAAGTAGGATCACCCCTACTTGGAAACTGAAATTCGCTGAAAATTCGAGCCATATTCATGGCAATTGCTAGGCACCCTCAGGTAGGATCACCCCCACTTGGATGCCGAACTTATGTCGCTAAAGCAAGTAGGGCTACACTAAGTAGGATTACCTCCTGCTTGAAACCCAACCAGCTTGAGACAGCAGAGGCTTACAGCCCTGTGGTCACTGCCTGGCAGTGCCGGTGGGCAAGCTGTGACCCTCAAGTAGCGTTACCTCTACTTGGAAACCCAGCTTGCTCGGGAAAAGTCAAAAACCAACAGCCTCCAGTTTACTGAATGCTCAGAACCTCAGGTGTCCCGAAGTAGGAGCACCCGTATTTGGGAGCTGAAATTCGCTTAAAAATTTCGAGCCAGGCTCCTGGCGGGTGTTGGGTACCACCACGTAGGATTGACCCCACTCGGATCCCAAACCTATGTCACAAAAGCAAGTAGGGCTACATCAAGCAGGAGTGCCTCCTGCTTGTAACCCAACCTGCTTAAGACAGCAGAGGCCCACAGCCCTGTGGTCACTGCCTGGCAATGCCCATGGGCCACCTGTGATCCTCAAGTAGCGCTACCTCTACTTAGAAACCCAGCTTGCTGGGGGCAGTCAGAACCAATAGCCTCCAGCTCTGCTGAAACCGCAAAAATCCAAGTTTCCAGAAGTAGGAACACCCCTACTTGGAAACCGAAATTCGCTTAAAAACTGGCGCTACATTCATGGCAAGTGTTGGGCACCAGCGAGTAGGATCACCCCCACTAGGGCCCAAAACATATGTCACTAAAGCAATAAGGTCACGCCAAGCAGGATTACCTCCTGCTTGAAACCCAACCTGCTTAAGACAGCAGAGGCCCACATCTCTGTGCTCACTGCCGCCACCCAGCTTGCTTGGGGAAGTCAAAACCAACAGCCCCCAGCTCTGCTGAAATTGCAAAAATCCAGTTTCCAGAAGTAGGATCACCCCTATTTGGAAACTGAAATTCGCTTAAACAATTCAAGCCATATTCATGGCAACAGCTGGGCACCCTCAGGTAGGATCACCCCTACTTGGACGCCGAACCTATGTCGCTAAAGGAATTAGGGCCACACCAAGTAGGATTGCCTCCTGCTTGGAACCCAACCTGCTCAAGACAGCCCTGTGGTCACTGCCTGGCAGGGTCGATGGGCAACCTGGGCTTCTCAAGTAGCGTTGCCTCTACTTGGGAACCCAGCCTGCTTGGGGCAGTCAAAACCAACAGCCTCCAGCTCTGTTGAAATTGCAAAAACAAACCATGTTTCCAGAAGTAGGATCACCCCTACTTGGAAACTCAAATTCGGTTGAACTTCAAGCCATATTCATGGCAAGTGTTGGGTACCCACCAGTAGGATCACCCCCAATTGGAAGGACCCTATGTCGCTAAAGCAATTAAGGCCACACCAAGTAGGATTGCCTCCTGCTTGGAACCCAACCTGCTTAAGACAGCAAAGGCCCACAACCCTGTAGTCACTGCCTGGCAGTGTCGATGGGGAACCTGTGAGCCTCAAGTAGCGGTGCCTCGACTTGGAGACCTAGCTGGCTTGGGGCAGCCAAAATCAACAGCCTTTAGCTCTGCGGAAATTGCAAGAATCCAGTTGCCAGAAGTAGGATTTCATAGCAGGTGTTGGGCACCCTCAAGTAGGACTACCCCCACTTGGACCCAAAACCTATGCCACTAAAGCAATAAGGCCACACCAAGTAGGGTTACCTCCTGCGTGGAACCCAACCTGCTTAAGACAGCAGAGGCCCACAACCCTCTGGTCACTGCCTGGCAGTGTCGATGGGCAACCTGTGGCCTTCAAGTAGCGTCACCTCTACTTGGAAACCCAGCCTCCTGGAGGGAAGTCAGACCCAACAACCTCCAATTCTGCTGAATTTGCAAAAAAAACAAGTGCCCAGAAGTAGGATCACCCCTACTTGGTAGCTGAAATTCGCTTAAAAATTCGAGCCAGATTCATGGCAAGTGCTGGGCACCAAAACGTAGGATCGCCCCCACTTGGACCCCAAAACTATGTCACGAAAGCAAGTGCGGCCACACCAAGTAGGATGACCTCCTGCTTGAAACCCAACCTGCTTAAGACAGCGGAGGCCCACAGCCCTGTGGTCACTCCCTGGCAGTGCCAGTGGGCAACCTGTAATCCCCAAGTAGCGTTACCTCTACTTGGAAGCCCAGCTTGCTTGGGGCAGTTAAAACCAACAGCCTCCAGCTCTGCTGAAAATGCCCAAAAAAAAAGAAAGCAAGTTGCCCAGAAGTAGGATCACCCCTACTTGGAAGCTGAAATTTCCTTAAAATTTCAAGCCATGTTCATGGCAGGTGTTGGGCACTCTCAAGTAGGACCACCCCCAACTTGGACCCAAAACCTATGCCACTAAAGCAATAAGGCCACACCAAGTAGGGTTACCTCCTGCGTGGAACCCAACCTGCTTAAGACAGCAGAGGCCCACAACCCTCTGGTCACTGCCTGGCAGTGTCGATCGGCAACCTGTGGCCTTCAAGTAGCGTCACCTCTACTTGGAAACCCAGCCTCCTGGAGGGAAGTCAGACCCAACAACCTCCAGTTCTGCTGAATTTGCAAAAAAAAACAAGTGCCCAGAAGTAGGATCACCCCTACTTGGTAGCTGAAATTCGCTTAAAAATTCGAGCCAGATTCATGGCAAGTGCTGGGCACCAAAACGTAGGATCGCCCCCACTTGGACCCCAAAACTATGTCACGAAAGCAAGTGCGGCCACACCAAGTAGGATTACCTCCTGCTTGAAACCCAACCTGCTTAAGACAGCGGAGGCCCACAGCCCTGTGGTCACTCCCTGGCAGTGCCAGTGGGCAACCTGTGATCCCCAAGTAGCGTTACCTCTACTTGGAAGCCCAGCTTTCTTGGGGCAGTTAAAACCAACAGCCTCCAGCTCTGCTGAAAATGCAAAAAAAAAAGAAAGCAAGTTGCCCAGAAGTAGGATCACCCCTACTTGGAAGCTGAAATTTCCTTAAAATTTCAAGCCATGTTCATGGCAGGTGTTGGGCACTCTCAAGTAGGACCACCCCCAACTTGGACCCAAAACCTATGCCATTACAGCAATAAGGCCACACCAAGTAGGGTTACCTCCTGCTTGAAACCCAACCTGCTTAAGACAGCAAACGCCCACATTTCTGTGCGCACTGCCGACACTCAGCTTGCTTGGGGCAGTCAAAACCAACAGCCTCCAGCTCTGCTGAAAACGAAAACCTCCAAGTCTCCACAAGTAGGGTCACCCCTACTTGGAAACCAAAATTCGCTTAAAAACTGACGCCACGTTCATGGCAAGTGTTGGGCACCAACGAGTAGGATCACCCCCACTTGGACCCAAAACAATTGTCACTAAAGCAAGTACGGCCACACCAAGCAGGATCACCACCTGCTGGAAACCCAACCTGCTTAAAACAGCAAGCGCCCACATTTTTGTGCGCACTGCCGACACCCAGCTTGCTTAGGGCAGTCAAAACGAACAGCCTCCAGCTCTGCTGAAAACGAAAACCTCCAAGTTTCCACCAGTAGGGTCACCCCTACTTGAAAACCAAAATTCGCTTAAAAACTGACGCCACGTTCATGGCAGGTGTTGGGCACCAACGAGTAGGATCACCCCCACTTGGGCCCAAAACATATGTCACTAAAGCAATAAGGTCACGCCAAGCAGGATTACCTCCTGCTTGAAACCCAACCTGCTTAAGACAGCAGAGGCCCACATCTCTGTGCTCACTGCCGCCACCCAGCTTGCTTGGGGAAGTCAAAACCAACAGCCCCCAGCTCTGCTGAAATTGCAAAAATCCAGTTTCCAGAAGTAGGATCACCCCTATTTGGAAACTGAAATTTGCTTAAATTTCAAGCCATACTCATGGCAACTGCTGGGCACCCTCAAGTGGGATAATCCCCACTTGGACGCCGGACCTATGTTGCTAGAGCAAGTAAGGCCACACCAAGTAGGATTACCTCCTGCTTGGAACCCAACCTGCTTAAGACAGCAGAGGCCCACAACCCTCTGGTCACTGCCTTGCAGTGTCGATGGGCAACCTGTGGCCTGCAAGTAGCGTCACCTCTACTTGGAAACCCAGCCTCCTGGAGGGAAGTCAGACCCAACAACCTCCAGTTCTGCTGAATTTGCAAAAAAAAACAAGTGCCCAGAAGTAGGATCACCCCTACTTGGTAGCTGAAATTCGCTTAAAAATTCGAGCCAGATTCATGGCAAGTGCTGGGCACCAAAACGTAGGATCGCCCCCACTTGGACCCCAAAACTATGTCACGAAAGCAAGTGCGGCCACACCAAATAGGATTACCTCCTGCTTGAAACCCAACCTGCTTAAGACAGCGGAGGCCCACAGCCCTGTGTTCACTCCCTGGCAGTGCCAGTGGGCAACCTGTGATCCTCAAGTAGCGTTACCTCTACTTGGAAACCCAGCTTGCTTGGGGCAGTCAAAGTAACCAACAGCCTCCAGCTGCTGAAATGGCCAGAAACCAAGTTGCCCAGAAGCAGGATCACCCCTACTTGGAACTGAAATTGTTCTTAAAACTTCAAGCCATATTCATGGCAGGTGTTGGGCACCCTCAAGTAGGACCACCCCCACTTGGACCCAAACCCTATGCCCCTAAAGCAATACGGCCATACCAAGTAGGGTTACCTCCTGCTTGAAACCCAACCTACTTGAGAACGCAGAGGCCCACAGCCGTGTGGTCACTCCCCCTGTGGTCCAAGCAATACTCATGGCAAGTGTTGGGCGCCATCAAGGAGGATCACCCCCGCTTGGACCCCAATATATGTCACGAAAGCAAGTACGGCCACACCAAGCAGGATCACCTCCTGCTGGAAACCCAACCTGCTTAAAACAGCAAACGCCCACATTTCTGTGCCACTGCCGACACCCAGCTTGCTTGGGGAAGTCAAAACCAGCAGCAGCCAGCGCTGCTGAAATCGCAAATATCCAGGTTTCCAGAAGTAGGATCACCCCTACTTGGAAACTGAAACTCGCTTAAAAAGTCAATTCATATGCATGGCAAGTGTTGGGAACCCTCAAGTGCTGGGCACGCAGTGCAAACAGAGCCAAATGGATCAAATGGCCGAGCTTTGCTAACCCCGAATTGCTAGAGCGCCCTCTCACCAAGGTCATGACTGCGGCAACGTTGTCGAGGAACCAGAGACCATGTCGATGTCGAAAAAGGTCGGGGCGCTCGATCAAGGCGCACAACACCATAGAGAGCTCCAGTTGCGTGCCTTGATGGCCATGAGACCGCCATACCCGACTCGCCCAGAAATACCTTGCTCCAAGAAGATTGCAAGTCTATAAAGTTTGGAAGCTGTGCCTCGAGTAAAGTGGCCTGATTGACGTGCTGTCGCAAGACATCACGAACTTTGTCATGGAGTCTGGTGCGGGCCCAAAAACGAAGATGACCTGTCTTATTGATGCAACTCAGGTCATGGGTAAGTCCCAAAGAAGCGCCAGTGCTCTGCATGGTCTGCGTTTTGTCTTCCGCAAATAAAGATCCGATCATCAGGCATAGTTGTTTCATCGCCCATTGCCCGGAGCCCTTGGCAGAGCGGACATCAGTGATCGCGGCATTAAAGTACAGGGATGTCAAAACTTGGCAATACCAGCGAGTCAGCGCTTCCAACAGTCTGGGAAAATCAGTTGAACGAAGTGATTGCCAGGGGGAGCCTAAACAAGAGGCCTGCATAGACCTGGGATACCGGAGTTTGCCACTCATCAGTGAAACCAGACGACAACGCAGCCTAAGCTCTCCTGCTGACATGGGGCAGTACCTGTAGGCAGACGGCAGGTCCTCTTAGCCTGTCTCCCAGGCATCATGGTGACAAAACTCGGCGACCTCGTCCTCAGACCAACGACGCATAACCAGGCTTATGGGCGACTACATAGTGTAAGCATGTTGGCATCGGAAGAAAGGTCTGATTGCCCTCCGGTGTCACCGTTGTCGATGACTCGTTGTTTCCCCGAACTTTGGGTGGTCACACAGCGCAGGATAAGACGATGTGCCCGGCCGCCAATGTCCCTGAGGAACTCTGCTCGCCGCAGAGGAGGTGTACAAAAACCGTTTCTGGCGTCTTCCAAGAACTCTTCGCCACGTGCTGCTTGAACTCCAGGAACGCAGCAGCATGGAGGAGCGACGCCTCGGTGGCCGCCGGGATATCGCTCCCACGAAGCTTACGCTGCATGCACGGTCTCCCCTTGCAACTACCAGGTCACCCCTTACGATGCTTGTAACCAACCAGGTCACCCCTGGTTATTGATGTGGTGAGCCGCTCAATCAAGGTCTAGGAAGGTCACCCCTTACCAGGGCCAGGAAAGAAATAGCAATGAATGCTATTTTGGCTCAGCTCCACTTGAGCCAAAATGAAAGCATTCATTGACTCACGTAAAGATGACACATGCACACCCAAGCCTGCCAAACTCAATGCATGAAGATATCACGGTAATTAATTATTATATAGCTACACACACATATATATATATATGCCATAATAGTCTATGGTGTTCCAGCTATCAACCTCCAAACCTCCATCATGATGGGGGATGGTCATGCCCATCTGTGGATCACCCAAGGGCGGCACGGGATGATGTCCCGGATGCGGAGCCTCTGCGCAACCCACCTGCCGCAGAGAATACTCCCGTGGTGATCCCGTAGATCCCCCGATGATTTGTCCTCAGTATTTGTTAGATATATATGGATTACTGTAATACATATAATATTCTATAAATGTACATCATCTATCTCAGATCCTCTATCTCAGGATATCTAAAAGGTATCACTAGTGAGGCAACCATTTTCCTTCGCTTAGTCCCAGCACTAAGGGGGACCCTGGACGAACCCCTGGACCCCTGGACCGGCCCGGGAAAACTTCCCGGGCGCCCAAAGGTCCAAAGGTCCGCACCTTTTCCTTCTCGCAGCACCACTTCTTTTTGCCGAAGGACCAGCCATGTTTCCAATTAGTGAGTCCTGTCGTGGGCAATGGCAAACAAATGGACAGAAAGGCGAGAAAGTCCCCATGAGGATGAACATGATTATGATTATGATGGTGATGATGGTGGTGGTGGTGATGGTAATGGTGATGGTGATGGTGATGGTGATGGTGATGGTGATGGTGATGATGATGATGATGATGATGCTGGTGGTGGTGGTGGTGGTGGTGGAATTCCTTGTTGTTGATATGATTGCTGTGTATATATTGATATGGTCTTGATTGTTTTATTAATTAGGATTGTTATTGTTATGTTTGTTTATTGGTTTTGATGTGTAATTGCTGCTATGTTTTATTGAAAGTGTTCTTGACGTGTTTTCTGATATTATAATATATTATAATGATTGCTATATTCTGATGAGTATGAGGATGAGTATGAATGTGATATTTTTTGTGACTATGACTGTGTGAGAGATCCTCACTCATGATCATCGTCTTCTTGTCTATCATCATCAAAACAAATGTGATTGCTTACTGGGTATGGGTCAATACCTATAGATACCATTTTTAGTGGGTTATTCACATCCATAAATCCCAGCTATTTTGGTGTGAACTACAGGGGTACTATTGGTTTTGACCCACTGCCACTGTTCTTGTGCTTCAGCCCCTCAAAGACTCTATAGACACACTGTAGATTCCCTTCCGGGTGGATGTCCCTTGGTCAAGTCATCAAGTCATCAAGTCATCCACGCCTGCGTTGCAGTTGTAGGGATGGGCTTTTGGAACACACGCCTCACCGCCGGCGAAAACGTACAGGTGACATGGGGGGTTCAGGTCCTCATCGATTGGGTGGAAAACATGCTTTGGGGATCCTAAAATGGTTGGCTTAGAATGGAAAAGCCCATTGAAATAGATGATTTGAGGGTACCCCCATTTTAGGAAAACTCCATTGAAATCTTCAGTTCCCAGTTTCATTTTAAACGTCTTCACCAAGGATATTTTCCCAACCATGGATCCAAGTGATAGCCTGTCTGACTTGATGCTTGATATTCTGGGTGGATTTTGTGTTCTGTCAGCTCTCTAGTTGATCCAAGGAAAACACAGGGCCTACGCAGAAATCTGACTGATCATCCAAACTTCGGTGAAATCTTCCCGTCGTGATGGTGTTTGCACCGTAAAAGGTTCCTCTTTTTTGGCACGCTGCAAAGGGTGTGTTCAATAAAAGGGAACACTCCTTGTGGCAATTCTCAAAAATTCTTGCATCATGAATTCCAGTTGATGTTTGTGCCCATGTTTGCCCTATTTTCATACACACCCACATGATCACATGTGTTTTGAGAAGCTACCAATTAATTTTATTCGTCGGCCGCAACGGGTCTTCAGCATCCCTTGCAGGGACACAAGCAGACTTTCCCCAGAACCTGCTAACCTTTATTGGTTTGTCTACCAATGGGGGTATACCGCACGCAAGTCCAGTGGTTGATCATCATTTTGCCCACTGAAATTGTCTTGGGGGTATACCCCCATTTTCAGACATGCCGAAAAAACACATCGCGGTCTTTTTCACTTTCAAGTGAGCAGTGGTCAGTGGTCAAATCCTAATGCGGATGCTTCAGCCTGGCGCTTCCCCCTTATCACTTCATCCTCTGAAAAAAAAATGAAAGGAATCTACAAGAATCTGGGTAAATTACAATATTTCACTAACCTGAATCTTGCGGCCATTTGGGGATGATGTCCCTTATTAACCAAAATTCCAGTGAGGGAGAACAGTGAGGTCGTGAGATCTCATCAGATCCCGTAACGCCATCCCCCAGCCGTTATAACTGGGGCCTCCTTCACGCCCTTGTCGCAGCATCGGACGCGGTGATCCAATTCCCAGTTGTTGGGAGAGCCCACACAGTCGAAGTTGGCGTGTTCGCAGCCCCTGGTGAAGAGATGTAGGGTTTTTAAGGGGTAAGGTACCCTCTGGTAAACTAACATAGCTATGGAAAATCACCTTATTTTTCATGGGAAAATCCACTATTTCTATGGCAATTTTCAATAGCTATGTTAAATTACCAGAGGGTAAGGATGATTGGATGGTCCAGGTATCCATGGGATACTCCAAGGATTTTCCCATGCAATCCTTCAGTTAGTGCAGGGTTCCCAGCCATGGAGCTGATGACATTAAGATCGACCCAAGATGAGCAACTTGATCTTGGGATGAATGGGGCATCGTCATCCCACTATCATGAAGGGGATTCCTTGTGGGTACAAAAACTCCTACAGATGAGGGATGATTCTCCCCTTTGATGGGGAAGAAAAACATAGAAAAGCATCATAAATCGACCATGGCATATGTAAGGTATGTCAACCGTAGAACATCTCAGGAAATTGCTCCAAATCAGATTTCATGACCAACAGCAATACAATTGTCAACTCCCAGCCGGGGCTATCAATCACAGCCTGCCACGATGCTCGCAGCAAAACTGTTTCTTCGCGAGGTTCCACCTCAGGGTTGTAGCACACAGAACGGTCAACGGTCAACACCTTGGAATCATGCCATTCCTTCATGACTTATTGGTATGGTGTTTGATATACCCCAAATGATAAGCTCGTTTAGAATGGGAGTGCTGATTTTGAAGATGATCCCGGCAATTCCAACCGAACCCGAGTAACCAGAAAGGTCCCAAAAACATCCAACTCTGTTCATGGCAAAAATATGGCAGTGGGTCAAACACCAATAGTACCCCTGGTGAACATCAAAATAGCTGGTAAATGGATGTTCATACCACTAAAAATGGTATTAATAGGTATTGATCCATAGCCATATGGGGTTTGTGGAAAACAACCATTTTTCCTAAAACCCACCGGATTTTAGGGTTTTTCCGAACAACAGCGTCTTGGACGTTTCCGTCGCCGTGACACTGCTTATCCCAGTCATCGTAGCCCTGGTTACAGTCGAAGTCGTGGCCCTACCGGTGGCAGTTTTGTACAGCGCAGAGGTTTCAACAAACATTGGATTCTCCAAAAAGGATGTACCATCTGGTTATTTAACATAGCCATGGAAAATCCACCCAGCTTTTAATAGGTAAACCATCTATTTCTATGGGCCATCTATACCATGGCTATGTTAAATAACCAGAGGGTATACTGGAAAATAATGGAAAATGCAATGATTCAATTAAGATTGTTACGTTACAAATAGAAATACCTGAAAAATAACCGGAAACAACTTGGTTTCTGCCCAACAAAATAATCGGGGGTTCTTGCATTTTTTGGGAAACCCTTTGGGGAATCTTTCAGGAGGCAATCAAACATCTGTGTATTACACCTGTACTCCAGGAAAAAAACGAAACATTGGACTCAAACCCGTAACAAAGAAGATGGTTTCCCTCCTAAGATATGGCATTGGATGGTGTGTTTTGAGGTGTCCAGATCTTCGATGTGATATGCTGAGACACGGGGTTGCATTCCTGCAGTCTCTTCAAAAATCTGCGGATTTGAAGGAGATTTCACCACCTCAACAGGAGACACCTGAGCAAGGTAAGGTCCAGGCACCTTCACGGGCCAAAGTTAGAGCGTTAACACTTCAAGGTTTCCCCATTCCAAAGCCCGGTGGGCTTTTCCAACAAACATCAGCACTGGCCAGGACAGAAACCTCCCTTTTTTAGGGGCACCTGAGTATCATCGAAGTTCGTCTCGCTGTGACCCGGGCTGTGACCAAAGTCAAAAACTGGAGCAGTGGTGAGCCACAGGAGCAGCCCAATGAACAACGCCAGCACTGCCAAGCACAAGCACACCTGCACCACAGATCCCTGGACCCCAGAGCAAGTCGTGGAATTTCATAGGGTTGCTGCCAGCATTTTGGGAGACCCCAGAAAGTGCATTATGACATGTTTGACCTCATTGGCCTCATACTTAAGCTACCCCCAAAGGCCCCAGTCCCAACATACCGGCACTCAATACATCTTCACTCAAAAAGGTGTCGAATTGCACTCGGCCGCACCTGGCAAAAGTTGCTGCAACGGTATCCTTTCTTGGCCTCTACACGCATCAGGTTGCCCTGGTTTTTGCCAACATGCTGCGCCCTCGGTCAGCATAATTCACCAAGGACTCACAATGCAGTGCAGTACCATCAGTATCCAAAAAAAACACAGCTGCAAAGAAGTGCAGATTCGTTTTCAAGCTCAGTTGATCTTCTCCCTGTCAAGTCAACTGTTTTGGTGGCAAAACATCCCAGTTCAATGGCATGCTGGGGCCCCAGCGCGTAGGCATAGTCGCCCATACCTTGCCCAACTTCTTGAAATCTGCCTTCTTCGATGACTTCCTTCGGCGTCTTCAGGATTGTGAGCCACCAAGCCCAACCATCAACCAGTCGCTATGTCCGTCTGTTAGACACCACCGCATCAAAAAGTGTACAGTTCTGGACCCACAAGTGGAAGAGATATATGACCTCTGAAAACACCAGGACGTGTATGAAAGATTATGAAAGCAAGCAGATTGCAAATGCAATGATATTATGCGTACTACCCGTCAAATCAAAGTAATTTGCGAAATGAACCTTTCAAAAATAAGGTAGTTATCATAACACCATAATCACCATATAACACCAATAAATTAGGTTGCATAAGTCCCTATATGAACCAATCAACCAGGGTATAAAATGAATGGCTCAACTGGCGGTCGAGTCGTGGGCTCACCACGGATGATGGACCCAGGGGCTTCCATAGTCATGGGGAATACCCCAATAGCTGGTGAATTTCACGGAAAATCCCAATCGAAATTCGATGATTTGGAGGTACCCCCATTTCAGAAAACCAAAAAACCCTCCAGTAAATTAACATAGACCCTGCCAGATAGGGGTTGGAAGACTAGTTTCCACTATGAATTGGTCATTTTCAGGATCTATGTTAATTTACTGGAGGGTATATATGTTTTTATATGTGTTTTAATCCAGAGAATGGGCAACCACCATCAGGGACTATACTTCAAAACCATGGGAGTGTCACCCATTGGGTACGGTCCAAGGATAAACCATCTCTCCTCATCGAAGCAGACCTTCTGACATTCCGCCATGGGTTTTTCCTCACCTGCCACTTTAGGCGTTGGCACGTTTTGGTTGTCGGAACAAAGATTCCGATCATGGATGGTGATCATATAGCAGAATAGGGGATATCCCCAATATATATATATATAATATAATATAATATATCTATATATATTATATTTATCATATATATTATATATATATTATATATATATTATATTATATATATATATATATATTATATTTATTATATTATATATATATTATATTATATTATATATATATATATATTATATCATATATATATTAGTAAGTGTACATCATATTATCCAGACCCAGCATATTGGATATATTATATTTATCATATCCCGAAAATATTGATATCTATATATATATAGTCTATATATTTATGATCTAAATATTTATCATACTATCCATATTTATCAAGCCTTGTTGGATAGTACAGCTACCCCCTGTCATCAACCAACAACGCTTGAACGCAGCCACTGCTCATCCAATGATCCCCAACTCTCGGCCCACTTTGACCAAACTTTCTGCGTCTTGCTAGTCTCATCTGGTGATCAAAAACAATGAATAAAAATGATGTCCCAGAGGGTAGCGCTCTGGAATTTCTATATTTTCATACATTCCAACTGTATACAGTCTCCCCAATATATATATATTGGATATACATTCTAAAAAGTTGGCAATTCTACAGTTCTACATTTGTTTCGAGGGTAGCCCATTTCGAATTTCCGTCCTGCCTGGTCCTTTCGCTTTTTGCGCGCAGCTCGAACCGCGTTTGAAACCACCCGTTTTCTTGAGCCAAGTCACTATCGTTCTCGGCGTGTTGGCCAAAAGATCTCCCATCCATAGGAAAATGGTGATTTAGCCAGATAAATTGATGATTTCACCAGCAAAAATTGATGATGAATTAACCAGAAACAATGGGGATTTAATGGGATTTGTATATATATATATATTATACGCATATATACATGGGGATTTGTATTCCACTACCATGGCCCGCATCACAGCGTGGCCGAGCGACAGTTTCCAACTCCAAAATCGGGACTTGGAAAATCGTCCAAAGCACAAAGCATCACACAGCGGGATTCTTTGAACACAATCCAGAGCCTTGAATCAATCTCCAGGTTTCCAATCCATGGGGGTAGCCCTAAATCATACATTTCATCATTTTAGCCGGATTTTCTTCATAAACCATCCATTTTATGGGGATCCCCATTTATGGAAACCACCATTTTTAGGTCCCCTGGCGTTGGGCGTGAGGCCCCCTGGAGTCCGAAAGGCGTCCGAAAACAGGTGCAAGGCCATGGCCCTTGCCGTGGAGGTGGATAGGCCACCGGCCACCAGGGAGATTTCTAACCGAAAAAAAATGGGGATATATATATATATATAATGATGGTTAATGATGGTTAATCCCATATATCATATAGAAGTTGCAGTATATACATGGTTCTGCTGATGGTTCATACTGATTAATATTGGTTACCAGTGGTCAATGATGATGAATGATGGTTAATTTGAGTTGGGGCTCAAAGTACCTACCCGCGGGTCCAACTGTCCATGCCGAAACTTTGAGGTTTTCGTAGTAGCCATGGTTGAGTATGCTCCATGCATCAGGGCCCTTGTTGGAGGGGAACGCATTTCATGCGTGGCATCGATGGTGACTTTTGATGGATCGACAGTGAATCATCTTATGAGCACGGTGATTGGGAAGGAGCTCTTCTCCTTTTCTGGAGCGGTGCCACAGGGACGTCTCACATACTCTCTGTTGAATGTCAGGGTTGCTAGACCCATGCCACGACCATTGTTGGTTGCTGATCAGGATTCATACATCCTTCATCACGATGCTTGTAGCTGGGATTCAGTACGTGAGGTCGTTGAACTGTGTGCTGGTTATGGGGGGTTAGGCCAGGGTCTTCTCTCCACTTGTTTTTCACCACAGGTCTGTTGTGATGTCAACCCACTGATGATAGGGCTTTACCAATCACAGATGCCAATTCATTCAGTATGTGGAGACATCACGGAATTGTCGACTGTGGCTGCACTGTGGGAAAAGTGTCCACGGTCTACTACGCTCAGCTCAGGCGTGTCATGTCAGCCATATTCAGTTTTGGGGGATGGGCGCAGTGGCTTGGATCCACGTTCGCAGAGCTTGCCAGCCACTTTGGCTTGTGCGCACTACCTTAGGTCGGTGGTAGTGGTGATCGAGTGCGTTGAACCAGCCCAGACTGACACATATGTGATGCATCACATCCGGACCTTTTGCCAGAAAACAGGGTTCCATTTCTCAGACGTAGTTTTGCGACTCCAGCATGTTTGGCCATGTGCACGCAATCGATGGTGGTGCATTCTGAGTGCCCCTGCCCTGGGCCCTATCCGCCTTAAATCATGGCCGACACTGCATGATTGCACGGTGATTAAACATGTTTTGCCTTACATCATCAGGTGGCCTTCCAATCATGAGGATGACCTTGCCTTGTTGGAACATGAATTGGATGCATTTCAGGTTGATCATGAGGATGGGTGTCCATATGCCATCAATCGATCAGGGGTCTTGCCATGTCCTTTACATGCTTGGGGCTCTCAGCTCCGTGCTTGCCCATGCAAATGCCGCTCAGGACCATTGTCCTCACAGAGGCTTCAACAACGAGGACTCTTTGGGGTTGTGGTGAAATCAGCTCCTGATCAGAATGGGCAATGCAGGTACCGCCACATTCACCCATATGAATGCGGCATTTTGGTGGGGCAAGACCCAACGATTGATTTCGGTGAAGATCCTTTGTTGACGTTGTCGGCAGCTGGACAGATTGCATCCCCACTGCAGGCTGCATGGATTGGAGCCCATATCATTGGTCATTTTGAGGAACTGCAAAGGGGCATACGCCAATTCACACCCATTGATCATTTGCAGGCCCTACGAACACTCCTGATTGCCAAAAGCCAGGCGATCTGGCCCTATCCGGATTATGTGCGCGCACATGAACACACTGAAGCCATTCGAAGGTGGGAGCCATATGTTCTGGATAGGATCGATGTTATCCTGCGGTCTGAACAGTGGGATTTTCTGATGTCGGAGCATTGCCTTGCTGGCGTGTTGCGTCAGCTTCAAGAGTCGCCCGCCACCTTTGCCACCGGATGACAGGATTCCATTTGGCTCCATGCATGTCGATGCTGAAGGCCGCCTTGAGACGGTCAGTGTTGCCAGTGATGAACCTGAACCTGAAATTGTGACAGACTCAGGTCCACCACCAGTTTTTCATGTAGTCCATGTTCCCCCGGATTGTGCCGCGGTCTTATATCCACCAGATGTAGCTGTTGCCCATGTACGCATTGCCCCTGGCACAACAGTTCAACAGTTGCTTGAGGCTGAAGGTCAGTTGCATGGTTTCGATTGGTCAGCAGTCACCGTGTTTAAGTCTGATGGATCACGATGGGCCATGCAAGAAGTCATTGTACCAGGTCAATTGGCTCAGCTGTGTGTTGTCCCATGCCCTGCACAGATGCACACTTTTGACATGACGAGTGGCCAAGAAGGATTTCCTGGAACGTTTGGCCAGGGGCCACTCCAAGCAGGTCCTGATGTTGCCTCTGACACTCAAGATGCCGGTCACCAGGTTTGTCTGTATGTCCCACGACAAGGGTCGTCGATGTCAGGCCCCATGCCTTCTGCAGTGTCTGCCGGTGTCATGTCCCCCGAAGTCCAGTCTCGTCAGATTGCCAGTGTACCTGTGAAAGAACATGCGATGCCAGCCGGGCATCCCCCTGATTGCCATGATTCCCATGCTGCAAGCCATGAACTTCAAGGGGAATGTGGGCCACTCCCCTTCAAATTGCCCACTGACGGTTCCCGACCCATTCAAGCTGCAACATCCAACCCCTGTCCAGTCAGCCCAAGGGAAGTTGGAAATGAGCTTACCAAGGCCAAAGATGCCTTGGTCACTCTAGGTTGTGAGGCTAGAATCTCAGTGCCTGATGCATCCCGAGATGGTGATCAAGATGGCTTGAGCCATGCTGAAAGGGAATGTGGGCCACTCCCTTGCAAATTGCCCACTGACGCAAGTGCCGGAGTAGATAGGTCCATGGAAGATGTTGCATCGGTCCCCGGTAGCATCCAGATGCATTCGGCAGGTTCGAACCCCCATCTAGGGCTTGTTTCACCTCGTGTTAACAATTGTCCAATGGTCTCTCTTGATGCTGCAGGTCTCATGCGGTTAGGATGTTCCTATACCACCACTCAAACAGTCCTGCAATCCATGTTGAGTCAGGTTGTGACCGCCCAGGATCGATGCATGATACTGGAACACCAAGGTATGGTCTGGGCTGATGATGAACTGCGATGGCACCTCGTCTCCCTGCTCACGACTAAGGCCCACCACGAAAGTGCTCAGGCTGTGTTGGATCGCTGTGCCATGATTGATCCGCTGTTGATGGCAGGGTGGGTAGCCACTGCGGGTGAAAATTGTGAGACGTGGGTAAATCAGTACTGCACCTCCCCCCGTGTAGTTGCAACTGTTGCCCTTGTTCATACTCATTGGGTACCCATTGTGATGATCCCTAGAGGCCAGGTTTTGCATGTCCACACGTGGGACTCCTCAACGAATGACCACACCAGTCTGGAACCCATTTTTACACGCCTGGCATCTGCCATGGGGTTTGTGGGCCATCAGACTGCCCGTTTGTACCGAATGTTCCCGATGGATGAAGGATGCGGTGCCATGGCGGTGGCCTTCATTGCCTACATGCTTCATGACCGTATGCTTCCTGACAATCAGGCAGATGTCCAGACCTTCCATGCACTGCTCCGCAATCGATTTGCTGAGGCTGTCCAGGCTCATGAAACATGTACCAAACCGTGGAGGTGGGCTAATGGAGCATTGCACCCAATGCTGATCGCATTCCTGCCACCAACCAAGGTCCAAATTCCGTTCTGAGCAATGCCGAGATCCAACCCTTTTTGGTTAGGGAAAAGAGCCGTCCAGATGGATTTGTCACTGGAGGGGAAAACCTTGCCAAGATTGGGGTCGTAGCCTTGTCTGTAATTGCTGCCATGCCTGTTGGACCATTCCTTCAAATGCTGGGCCTTTGGTCCTCGGATGGGACTCCTTCCCAAGATGATGGAGGAACTGTTGCTGGACCTGTTGAGGAGTTCCAGACCTTAGTTCAGGGTTCCAACCAGTCCGACACACTCACTGAGGAGGGAACTGCCGCATTTGTCTTGTCCCCACACCATGTTGGCTCGTATATGCACAGTGTCGACGTCCGGTCTCTGCACCTTCAGGAGCCTGATTGTCAGGTTTGTGATGTCCCTTTGTCGTGTTGTCATGTTGATGGAGCGTGGTCTCATTCTGGGGAATGTGGGCCACTCCCCTACCTAATGCCCACGCAGGGGTTGCCCTGCACGACAAGTGATGCAAAAGGACGTGTGACAGCCCCTATTATGTGGAACAGGTGCGATCTTGAGGAGTCGCCCATATGCCAGATCACCCCGAAGACCACAGACCCATGTGCGGGTGGTCGTAACCTTGAAAGCGGTCATTTGGATGCCACCAGATTGGATGATCCCAACCACAACCCGTGCCAGCTGCATAGTCTCCCAATTCTGGCAGACCACCAGTTTGATGCAGTGCGTTCTCCTGGGGAATGTGGGCCACTCCCCTTCAAATTGCCCACCAGTGGCAAGAATGATGTGCCCAAGGTTGGGGCAATCACAACATTGCCGGTTGGCCCTCCACCACCTGAGGAGGTTAGGGAAGCATGTGCCTTGTCTCCAGCCAAAGCCGGTCCGTCTGAGAGTCGTATTGAAGTCGATGTCGTGTCCCTGCCCTCTCCTCACAATGCCTGTCAGGTTGATTATGTCTCATCGTCTTGCCGTCAAGCTGATGGAGCTCGGCTTCATCCTGGGGAATGTGGGCCACTCCCCTGCTTAATGCCCACGCAGGGGTTGCCCTGCATGAAGTTTGACTCACATGGAAGGGTGATGTCCCTCATGTCCAGTAAGATGGGTGGCCGCGATGAGCCTCATGTCATCCAGACTAATGCAATGACCACTGGCTCATGTGCGGGTGTACGACACCTTGACCGTGCTCACTTGGATGCCAACAGCCTTGCACCCATCAACCAATGCTTTTGCCGAGGGCGTGGTTTACCACCATTGGCAGACCACCAGTTGGACGCAGTGTGCTCTTCTGGGGAATGTGGGCCACTCCCCTTCAAATTGCCCACTAGTAGCAAGGAAGCAGTGCCAAAGATGAGTGGAACCGCCAACGTGTCTGCCGGCAACCTTGAACCTGTGGAGTGTAGGGCAGCAGGTGCCGTGTACCCAGCCACTGTCGCCTCATCCAAGTCCAGTGCCGAAGTCCGGTCCATGTCCCTTCATGAACATGCCTGTCTGGTTAGTGATGTCCCCCTGTCTTGCCGTCATGATGATGGAGCTCGTCTCCACCATGGGGAATGTGGGCCACTCCCCTACCTAATGCCCACGCAGAGGTTGCCCGACGTAACTGGTGATGCCCATGGAAACATGATGTCTCCTATTTCATGGAACATGTGCGGTCTTGATGAGTCAAATGCAGTACAGAACACACCAGCGACCACAGGCCCATTTAAAGGTGGCCGAATTTTTGAACATGGTCATTTGGATGCCCAGAGCCATGCAACAACTGACCAGTGCTCTTGCCAGCACAAGGTGCCGGTTGAAGGTAACCCCAATTTAGAGGCACAGCCGATGTCAGTGCAAGAACGTTCCCAGCTCCTGGAAACCCAGGGCCACTTCTGGGCTGATGATGAGATCCGTTGGCAACTTGCCAACCTGTCGACCCAATTGAGAGATGAACTCAAACAGAGTGGTTCTTACCCGAATTGGGTAATCCTTGACCCCTTGCTCCTGGATAATTGGATCCAGACTGAAGGGAAAAGCTGTGCAGCGTGGGCCAATTCCCACTGCCCATTGCCTGAAGTTGTGATTGCGGTTGCCCCTGTCCAATCCCACTGGATCCCGATGGTCATGGTGGTAGGAAAGGGAGAGTTGACTGTTCATACATGGGATCATCAAACCAGCAATCATGCTTGTCTTGCCCAGGTTTTTGCACACTTAGCCAGTGCGCTGCGCTTATCAGGGTTTCATCATGTGAAGTGGCCTCAGAACTTGGAGGTTGATGACTGCTGTGGCCCGCTGGCCATTGCCTTTATTGCACGAATCATGCTCGGAAGACCCCTTCCGACCACACATGCTGAAGTGTTGGCTCAACATGACACTGCCCGAGCTCAGTTTCAAGAAGGCATTCAACACCATGCCATGTGGGTCAGGCCCTTGATTTGGGCTAATGGCCTTGCGACTCAAGCTGAGCAGGAGTTGATCCCAGTGTTGATTGACCATGGAGTCCCCCACGAACATGCAGGGACAAGAGCCAAAGCAGCCGTGCGGGCCATTGGAGCACAGCCTGTGCTTACTGCCTTAGGCTCCAGGATTCCTTGGAAACAACTCAAAACATTGGGAAACCAATCCAAGTTCCAGTTCCTGCTGCCTGCTGAACTCCAGTCGAAGATCACTGAAGCTGCAGGCAAAGGTGATATCGGAAGACCCAAAGGTGGAAAGAAGAGCAAGAAACCACCGCCTGAACAACCGCCAGTTGTTCTTGACCCATCCAAGTTTGCGATTTCACAGGGTGTTTTCCAGAGCAATTCCCAGCCACTGCACCAAAGACCCTTGAAAGCTGTGGGACCTGCCACTGAAGGCGTTGTGATTGTCACTAAGGCTGAAGCAGCACCCTACTTGGCACAGGGGAAAGCAGTTTCAAACTTGCCGCTTGCACTGCTAGTTCTGCAATGTACCTTGGCTGAGGTGACGACCTCGCTGCCACACCAAGCTGTGACAGTGCCCTGCCATTGTGTGGTTAACCAAGAACCGATGCTCATTGACATGGTCATGGTTCAGATAGGTTCTGGTTTGGTTGAGAAAACCCAGGCCTCTCGCAAGATCCACATTGATGCCGTTGACGTTGGCACATTGAGAATCACAGTTTTCAGAGATGAAATTGAGGGTACATGGGAACACCTGACCCAAGGTCCGATGAAGTATGTTGTTCACCATGTACCGTTGCTGCGAATGTGCCGTGAACCCGGATGCCAATGTCCACATTGGCACAATCACGAAAAGGTTGACACCAAAGATGCCTTACTTGATGTTTGGCGCCGTCAATACCTGCGCAATGGCTACAAGCCGGAGCCTCCCAGCAGTGCCACTATGTTTGCGGTCAGCATCCGAGTGCCAAGTTGCCTAGTGTTGCCCCTACTTAAGCTCAGTGGAACAGCCGGCATTTATGTCGAGCCTCGATCCCTGGACTCCCGGACAGTCCATGAGGATTATGCCATTGTGTGGTTGACTCGCCTGCAGCCAGCTGCACTGAATCACCTGTGCCAAACCAATCCCACGGCTATTGGTCTTGCCCGGGTTGGTGATCGCATTGGGTTACGCACCCTGGCGATCCATGCCAGTGATCTGTCTAAAGCAGTCAGACCAGATGCAGTGTACCTGCCTGCAGGACCCAAACAACAGTTCCTCGCAGGACCGTTTCCCTTTGGAACTGACCGAGGCAGCTTGACCAAAGCCCTGCAGCAGATTGACTGGGAAGCTCGGCCCTTGCAGCCACTTGCCTCAATTGACAACAAAGGGGCGATGTGGCTCATCCAGGCCACTGATGATCCCCCAGCCTCACTGCTATCAATGGGACACGGAGATGTCATGATTTCCAAACACAAGGGCCCCAGGGATGCCAAAGAGACCAAAGCAAGGCCTGTGGCTACGCCAGCTACAATAGCCCTGTGCAACACCCAGACCTCGCAAACAACTTTGCCGGATCTTTGGGCTGCTGCTGACCCCTGGGGATGGTATGCACCCTCAAGCATGTGCCAAACAGATGCATCAGAGGGACTGAAGCAACTTGAATCCAAGATCCAAAAAGCGGTCCTTGCCAGCCTCCCAGCTAGCTCCAACCAGATGGAAGTTGATGATGTCCCGGATCGGGTCCAGGCCCTTGAGCAGCAAATGAGCACCATGATGCAGAAACATGCCCAGCTTGAGGCCACAGTCACTGACCATGCTGCACGACATACTGCTCAGCTTGGTTCAGTGCAACACCAACTGCAAACGCAAGGTGCTGAGCTCAGAGGACACATTGAGTCCCAGCAACAGAACCTGCAGGCTCTCTTCGAGAGTCAGATGTCTCAGATACGCAGCCTGCTCAAACGCCCGAGGGAGGACCATGAATGACGATGTGGGGTGGCAGGACTGTTTGGTAGCCTCCATGCATGGGTACTGTGGGCTCTTGCCCTTGTTGCTGTTGGCCTCCTTTGCCTGCTGAACCCCATCGTTTTTGCTCAGTTTTGTCTTGGCCTGGCTGTGTGCAGCACTTGCCTTACCAGCCCGTGCAGACCAACCCGACCCAAGCCCCACAGTTTCACTTCAATTTTGTATGTTCTCACCCTGGTGCTAGGGGTGCGTTTTGGGGAAGCACTTCACCCAGGTCCCAGAGCGACTGCGAAGTCCCAAGATTTTTGTATTGGGTGTTTCAATCCATCTGGGTTGGCGGGGAAAGCTCAGGTGATTAATCAGTATTTGAGCCATGGCGACCTGTGGTCCATTGCTGAAACTCATCTGACCACTAAATCAGTTTCATCATTTCGCAGAGGTCTTCGAGTCACTAAGTCGCCATATCGGTATTTGATCACTGGACATCCTGTCCCTGTGCGTGCTCATTCTCAAACATCCGGTGGATGGAAAGGGGTTGCGGCACTATCGAAGCACCCGACCAGGGCCTTGCCAGTAACGTGGGATCCTGACATCAGTGCCTCCAGTCGGGTGCTTGTGACATCCACCTTGCTCAACGACATGTGGATCACCTTGGGTACCATGTATGGAGAATCTGCAGGCACGTGGCATCCTCAGCACCTTCATCACAATGACCAACTGCTCAGGGCGGTTGCCACGCAGGTGTGCCTCTACTCTACTGGGTTGAGGGTTGTCGCAGGGGACTTCAACTTGAAGGAAAATGATGTGGCCGCCTTTCAGATTCTTGAATCAGCAGGTTTTCGTGACATCCAATCCATTGCCTCAGACAGGTGGGGCCATGCGATTCAGAACACCTGCAAATGCTCCACCAGAGTTGACTTCATGTACATATCACCTGAATTGCAGACATTGTTGACTGCTGTCGACATTGACGCAACAACATGGCCAGACCACAGTGTGTTACATGCCTGGTTCCGGGGTAATGTTCATGCTGTCCCCCGGTTTGTGTGGAAGCAACCCCAAGAGATGAAGTGGCCATCCTTTGAATTTGATGCCATTGAACCTGTCCCCAGCGGCCATGCCACCAGACGGTATGCTGATCTCTGGCATGATGTGGAGAAGGCTGCCTCCGAGGCGAGTCCTGTGCCACTCCCAAAGGCCAGTTGTGGCCGTGCCCAAACGCTGGCACCTAAGAAAGTTGTAGGACAATCACATGCTCCACTCAAAGCACCTCGATCCGGTGACTTGGCTCCCCAGTTCACAGGTATGTCGGTCCAGCATGCACACTGGTATCGGCAAGCACGCCGACTTCAGGCGTACGTGCGGTTTGTGCGGTCTAGGAAACCTGAAGCTGACCCATGTCACGCAGCCAATGTTTGGAGTGCCATCACCAGGGCCAAAGGGTTTGATTGCGGCTTCGCTGAATGGTGGAGTACGATTGAACACTCTGTTCATGAGGCCCCTTATGAATGCCCAAGGGTCCCACCTGATCAGCCTGTGGCCGAAGCCATGTATGCCTCCTTTGTTTTGGTTTTTCGCCAACTGGAAAAGAAACTGCATGCCACCAGCCGTGCCACTGCCAAGGCTAAACGGCTAGCATCCCCGCAATTGATCTTCCAAGACATTCGAGGTTTGGGAATGGACAGTGTTGACCTGCTCACTCAACCCCTCCAAAGTAAGATTTGTTATGTGGATGCCGACACCCAATGTCTTCATCTCGACAAAGCATGTCAGTGGGACCAGACCAAACCAATTTTTGTTGATGGTAAACCGCTGAACATTGTGCACTATGAAGATACGTGGGTTTGGGTTGACCAGCCTGTGTCAGACGCCTGTGGGTCCCAGTGTACGCTAGTACGCATGATAGGTGCCATTGAAGAACTTTTTGCGGAATTTCAACAATCATGGGCTGCGAGATGGCAACGCCATGAGAATGTCCCAATGAGCCAGTGGCATGATATCCTGGCCTTTGCCAAACGCCATGCACGCCCTGTGCCATGTTCTTCTCCCCCACTCACACTAGGTTGCCTCAAGCAAGAAATCAGGAGGAAAAAGGCCAAAACCTCCAAGGGATTAGATGGCGTTACATTGGCTGATTACCGTGCAATGCCGGATGGAGTCCTCCAAAGCATGTGTCAGTTTTACTCCTTGGCAGAAGCCACTGGGGAATGGCCTGCACAACTCACAGCTGGACGGGTAGTGTCACTTGCCAAAACTACCCAACCGCGCACTGCGGCTGATTTCCGTCCTATAACTGTGCTGAGCATTGGGTACAGGCTGTGGTCTTCATACCACTCCCGCAACATCATTGCTGCCCTTGATGAGTGGCTCCCACCAGGTCTCCATGGATCCAGGGTAGGCAGCCATGCCGGCCAGGTATGGCATTCGATGCTTCTGACCATTGAAGAAAGTCATGACTGTGGCATTCCCCTGGCGGGGGTAGTAGGTGACATCGTAAAGGCATTCAATTGTTTGAGTCGTCCAGTGATTTTTGAATTGGCTGGTATGCTGCGACTGCCTATGCATGTTTTGACAGCCTGGGCTGGATGTACGATGCAGATGGCCAGACATTTTGAAGTTCGCCAAAACTTGTCCCCTGCCACCATGTCGGTCACAGGCTTTGCAGAAGGGGATGGTCTCTCAGTCCTGGCAATGATCTTGCTTGACTGTGTCCTCCATTGGTGGATGGATGAGCTCAGCCCTCACTGCACCACGCTCAGTTTTGTTGATGATTGGCAGTTGCTGATCCGAGACCCCCAGTATGTCCAAAGCGCCATGAACCGCCTCGAGGCTTTTTGTGCCAAGGTTGACCTGCAACTTGATAAGAAGAAGACGTATGTTTGGTGCTTATCGGCTGAGGGCAGACGCCAGTTAAAACAACAAGGCTATCGAGTGGAGCATGGAGGGCGCAACCTTGGAGCGCACCTGCAATTGACCCTCCAACACACCAATCACACGCTTCAGACTCGAGTCAATGCTTTGCATGACATGTGGGATCGTTTAAGGTTGTCACCATGCCCGTACAAAATCAAAGTCCGCGCATTGACGACAGCGGCTTGGCCTAGAGGTCTTCATGGAGTCGCCTCTACAGGTCTTGGTCGTAGCATCCTGCAGCGGTTGAGATCTGGAGCTGTCCGTGGGTTACAGGCCGACGGGGCAGGGTGCAGCCCCTGGATTCAATTAGGTTTGATCGAACATCCAGCTTGTGACCCGGGCTATTGGTCAGTCATGCAAACCATCAGAAGCGTGCGCGATTGTGCAGCACTTGACTTTGTCCAACCTGTTTTGACGCGACTTGCTTGGGAGGGGACGGATATCCCCGGTAACTCCATCACCCAGACTTTGTTGTCCAGGCTCCAGGTCCTGGGGTGGTCAATTCGTGCTGACGGTCTGCTTGAAGACTTTCTTGGTCCCTTTTGTTTGTTTGCTTGCACGATGGCAGAAATCGACTTCAGGGCACAACTCTCGTGGCAGGGGGTAGTGTCACAGCAAGTTGCCCACCGAGCCGGGTTTAAGGACCTGCACCTTGCTGATGTGCAAGGCACGCGTCAGTGGATTGCCTCACAACCCACTGAAGATGCTGGGCTTTGCCGTAAATTGCTCAATGGTGCACACTTCACCCGCGATGCACAAAGATACTGGCAGGAAGAAGATGGTAACATGTGTCAATTTTGCCAATGCACTGACTCAAGATACCATAGGTTTTGGCAATGTGAGGCCTTTGAGGTGCACAGGGCCAACATGGATCCCCACGTTTGGGCCATGATTCCCTTTTTGCCTGAATTTTTGACAAGCTATGGGTGGGGCCTGCGACCAGCGTGTTGGAAGCAGTATATGCAAGCCTTGTTGCACATACAAGAGACCCCTTTTGACCTGACTCACATGTACCCACCACATGACGGCTGGCTGGACCTCTTCACAGATGGCTCATGCCACCACCCGACACATGCAGGGCGCTTGGCCAGTTGGGCCGTTGTGCAAGCCTCGTCACATGACGTGGGCACCAATCCTGGGTCTAGGGTCCTTGCCGCTAGTCCACTTCAGGGTCTTCTACAGTCTGCCTACCGGGCGGAGCTCCGAGCTGTTTTGGAAGCAGTTAGGATTGCCCACCATAGTCGTTTGAAAGTGCGCATTTGGTGTGATTGCAAGGGGGTTGTTAACCGTGTGCGTGCCATCCTCCGCAAACAATGGAAACCAACAGCCAATTGTAGACATTTTGACCTCTGGTCTCAGCTTTGTGTTCTGCTAGGTGACGGTGGCCCTGGCATGGTTGTCATTACCAAGGTAGCGGCCCACAGTGACCCTCAGGGATGTGTCTCAGCTTTGGAATCATGGTGCTTTCTTTACAACAGTTTGGTCGACCATGCGGCGCGTGCTGCTCATGTTCTCCGACCACAGAGTTTTTGGGATCTTCATCATGTTTTCATGCGTGATTTTGAGTTTGCAGGTTTCATCACACAACAGGTTCGCACAGTTCAACTGTCTATCAGCCGAGCAGTTGTTTTCCATCAACAAGAAGTCCAAACAGAAAGCCATGAACCTGACGAGGTCAGGGAAGTGATTTTGCCTCCACGTTCCAAGCAGCCCATTTGGAGGGCTCCACCGGAGGTAACGTGGATTGGTCGCCATCTGTGTCAGAAGTATGGTGAGAGATTGGTTTTGTCAGTGGGACGCTGGTTTCTTCAGGGGTTAACAGAGGCCAACAGACCACCAGGATGGATCAGTTTTTACCAAATCTACACTGACTACATGTTGTGCACAGGAGAGGGAGGACCACTGCATTTTGAGACTTGGATTGACCCGGCCACACGCCCGGCGGCGAGTATGGTTGGAATTTCTTTCAAACTGAGGTGCAGGTGGTTCACACATATGCTCAAAGAGATAGCGGCGTCATGGAACTTGGGTCTTGTTCATCAATTCGTTCGACCCCAATCTGAATTTTTGCTGCTCCATGCAGCTTGTGTGTGGCTGCCATGGTCGGATTTTCGACTGGATAGGTGCGAACGATGGTATGGTAGTTGTCTCACACAGCCAGCACGGCGGGATGGTCGAGCGCTTCTCCGACTCCCTGTCCCTGCCCGTGATTGTGAGATGCCAATGGTGGCAATGACCCACCTTGAGATTCGATAAGACGTTGGATCTCTGGCCATTTCCGCAATAGCTGACTTGGCGAGACATCCAGGAAACAGGAAACATGATGGTTAATTTGATTGATGGAACTACTCTTGGGTAATCAAGCGTGGCTAGCTGGGAAATCGCCAATCAAAATGGAGGCTGTAACAGGAAAATTATAGATAAATGGTGAATCTCCCATTGCCATGGTTTGATTCCCGGAGGGTAAATTGGGGAGATTTGATCAACAGGATTAAAAGATGATAAAGTTGATTGTAAATTGGATATCATGGGTGGATTCAACCAAAAAAATGGGAAATTTTACCAACCAATAATGTTGGGGATTGTTCATAGGGATAGAATGGGATACATCACCAACACGATGATATCTGGGTCTGTCCTAAAACTACCAATTTACCGCCAATTTTTTATATACGGCCATTGTGCAGTTCATGGAAAATGATGATCAATGATGATCAACAAAAAAAAATGGGGTACCCTCTGGCAATCAAAATTGGCAATGGAAAATCCATCATTTATGATATTCCTAGCTAGAAACCTCCATTTATATTCCAGAGAACTTCCCATTGCCACATTGGATTCCGGGTGATACCATGTTTTCACAAGAGGAAAAAGGGTTTTGCCTGTCCCAGGTACCCACAAATTGATCGGTCACTTCTGAAGTAGGGTTTTGGAGGGTTGCCCAAGTTCGGGGAAAAAAATGTGAATATCATAATATATTAGATGTATAGATGTATGTATGTATAATTACAGTATGTATATGTATATGTATCCATGGAGGAGGAGCCAGGACGGTTGAAGTGGTGATAGGTGAGGAATAAAACAAATTCCGTCGGACTTCCCCAAAGATTCATCAAGTTGATTGGGGATTCAATAAAAACCAACAAATAAGAACCTACAAATGGTTCTATGAACTAGAAACAGAAGCACAGAGAAAAAGAAGAAACCACAATGATTCACATACAGTGTGGAAGTCCGCGGCAAGATCTCGGAAAAAGACAGAATTGAACTCTACAGAAAGAACCGAAATCATTTGGGTAACAACTGATGCCTAAATTACAATAATGGTGAGATAACCGCCAACAATAGAGGCTATGTATATTTTTTTTTCATCCGTCATAATGGAACATATCGGGCCATATCGGGGGATATAACCAACAGCATTATGTATCGCTTTGCCCTGGATCAACACTGGCGTAACTGGCGCAACTGTACCTTGCTGTTTACATCCAAAATAAGCTGATCAACGAACGCTCGTTCTCGCATCGAAAATCATAGGTGTTGAAACCAAATCAGTCCGATGTGTGCTGGTTACCCTCTGGTTATGTCAAAATAGCTATTGAAAATGGCCATTTATAGTGGATTTACCCATTGAAAATGGTGATTTTCCATAGTTATGTTAGTTTACCAGAGGGTAACCTTTTATCCATGAAACCATGTGTGACCCATCTCTGTGCAGTGCCGTGTTATATCAATCCCGAGATGACGAGGTATAACGCCAATGATATCCCCAATGGTATCCTCATGAAATATCCCCATGTTTGCTGCTTACCCGAGGCGAAACTAACGTAGTTTCGTAGAAAACCGATGCTTTCCCTAGGAAAATCATCTTCACAATCTAGAAATGCTTCATGTTCCACATCTATTTTAGTTTACCCTCGGGTATCTCCTCATGTTTCGGTGCTTAGGTGGTTGGTTCCCCAGGCGACGCCGGCAGGGCTCCAAGACTCCAAGCTCTTCCACGTTCGCAGGCGGCCAGAACGGCATTCCAGCACCTCGCCGGAGGTGCAAAATTCGACCGCATGTCAACATGATGCAACTAATATATATGTATTAATTATAAGATAACACTAATATATATATATATATGCTTTAAAAAAAAAAAAAAATAATAATACAAGTACGTAATATCCTAATATCATTCATATTATATGTATAGATACATAAAGAGAGGGATTGTACAATGTTATACATATGTGCACTGTATATACACATGTACATGTCGTTTCGAGCGGCCAAAGAGAAGACACATACTTTTCACTATCAGAATATTTTTCGTTGAACATGACGTTCTATCTTTTTGGCGGCTGTGAGGCACTAGGATAATGAATCCAGCCCAGTTTGAGGTTAAGGATGTTCCTTCACAATCCATTTTGAAAACGGCAGTTAAAATAAAAACCCTGCGCCCTGCGCCATTTTTTCATTAAAAATGGGTCCATAACCAGAAAGATGCCCCTTCTCCGAAGTTTGCTGAAGAAGATGTGGGAAGTTCAGGGGCACCATGGGGCACCGCACCGCACCGAACGTGGCACTTTTTTGGCCAACTTCGAACTGACTTGAAGAGATGCTCAATGCCCATTGAAACGAGGGGATGAACATCCACAACTACCCTTTACCCTCTGGTTATGTCAAAATAGCTATTGAAAATGGCCATAGAAATAGTGGATTTTCCCATTAAAAATGGTGATTTTCAATAGCTATGTTAAATTACCAGAGGGTATCTTCCCGTCAAAATCACCAAGCTTGCTGCCTCCCATATAGCTTGAAAAAGACAACTTCGCGCGCCTTCTTAGATCTGCATCCCAGTCATATAGAATGGATATGGATCCAAACACTTCCTTATAAGCTTATAAGGTACTTGGATCAACTTGGATCCATAGGGAATTATATCATCATATATTATACAGTGGATATCTACGGATATCTATGATATCCCAACAGAATGTCCATATAGTTTCGCATCCATCTAGGCCGAGCTGCACGATATTCGGCTGCACCTTCCCATGGGCACAAGAATGGGGTCCCCAAATGGCAATCTTCATCCCTTCGTCCCATTGTTCCAGAGTCATTGACTGATTGAAGTCCCCAATCTATCTCCAGTACACCAACAAAATGTGTAAAACTCAATGGATTTCCACAAGAATGATCTGAAAACATAGGGTTATCCGTTGCAAACCCGCTGAATAACTTAAATCTAATTCACCAAACTGAAATAGTGTCCTGTTCAAGCGCCCAATCTTGAGATATCAATTCTGAATAGGCTAGAAATAAATCGACAGCTTCTGATCGTTGCTGTTCTTGTAGGTTTCAATAGGGTCGTGAATGATCATTTAGTCTCACCCTATTATCTATTCTTATCAATTATAATTGGAGTACCATTAACAAATAACGACCATAGACAACAAATGACAATAATATACAATAATATATATATATATAATAGGCTCCCATTCTTTATGTGGGGATGGGTCAAAACCCTGGTACCTAGTGAACCCCAAAATAGCTGGTAAATGGATGTTCATCCCACTAAAAATGTATCTATAGGTATTGACCCATATCCATGTGATCCATTATTGTTTTGATAATGGTTCTCATCTCTTCCCCATCGCCCCGTTCAGGTGCGAATCGCACCTCCATCTTGGGCATCTCTTGGATCAACGTCAAGGCATCGGGCCACAGCTGCCGCCTGGCGCAGACCTCGGGGCCCAGCGAAGCGATAAGTTGGTTACCAGTAACTTCAAGAACTGTTGGCTTTATGGCAATCATGAATATACAATAATAGTCAATAATATACATATGGGGTTATGGCTTCAGAAAAACTGTTTGTTGGCTTTATTATATAACTGTTTGTTGGTTTTATGGCAAGTATGAATATACTTTTAATGGGGCCACCAACAAACATAACTGGGGCCCACCTTGGTAGGCATTTGAATGCCCGAACTCTTGTTTTCAAGTTTTGAAACCAATATCACGATGGCAAGCCATCTCTAAGCGTCTTTTGTGGCTCGTCTGATGTGGTAAACTCCAATAGACGGTCATAACATCGTCCCAGTAATAAGGGTATACCCATGACAATAATTATAGGGGTTTACTAATAATAGGGGTTTGCTAATGATAATAGGGGGGTTACTAAGAGGGTTTACTATAATATACCATTGGACCACAATATACCTAATTATCAGTCATTAATCATAGGGGTTTACTGGCTAAAAGATTAAAAAGAAAATGAATAAATAAATAAACAAATTAAATAAATATATATATATATTATGATGATGATGATGATGATGATGATGATATATGATTTAATTATAACCACAATAACCCATGAATCATGAATCATTCATGCTGAAAAGAACATCAAAGAACCAGCGTTCTGATGCCCAGCCACTCCCAGCGCTGCGCCCCACTCAAGCACCGACCCACCGCGTCCGGCCTGACGGATCCAACATGGCCAAGTTTCTGGGGATTTTATAGGGATTTTATGGGGATTTTATGGGGATTTCAAGGGAATTTCAGGGGAAATTTAGGGGAATGTGATTGGGAAGGGAAATTTATTGTGACTTGAAGAGGATCTCAGACGTGAGTTTTAACCAACGATAGTGGGAGGCCTAGTGATAGCTGGGAAATCCCCGCGCTAGCCGTTTTTTCGGTTGCTGGGAAAATCATCAAACCATTGCTGGGGAAATTTCCAAAAAGCCATGTTTGATTATCATAAATAGATTAATATATAGATTAATATAGATAATATAGATAATAGATTAATCTACCCTATTAATCTATGGTATCCATGGATAATAGATATGATTATCAGGTGAATCAAATGGTATAAAACCATCTGTAAATGGAGCATTTGATTTCCATAAATCAAGCCATGGAAACTGGGCCATTATTATGTATGGATGGTTTACCTATTATAGATACCCTCTGGTTATGACTAACATAGCCATGGAAAGATCCACCCATGCTGTAAATAGGTAAACCATCTATTTCTATGGGGCATTTTCCATGGCTATGTTAAATAACCAGAGGGTAATACTACGGGCAAACACCTCGATTTGCCCGCGCTTGTCGGCGGCCATCTTCGTATGTGCTGAAAACGTGATAAAAATGGGAGTTTTTTGCATCATGGCTAACTTCATGTTGTATATCGGCACGCACAGCATAGGGACCTGTGCGAGTCTCTTACACATCATCATCATCATCATCATCATCATCATCATCATCATCAAACCCTTATTGAAGATCTTCAATGAATGTAGAGTTTAACGGGGGTGGGAGAACTAAACCCTTATTGAAGATCTTCAATGAATGTAGGAGTTTAATGGGGGTGGGAGAACTAAACCCTTATTGAAGATCTTCAATGAATGTAGAAGTTTAACGGGGGTGGGAGAATTAAACCCTTATTGAAGATCTTCAATGAATGTAGAAGTTTAACGGGGGTGGGAGAATTAAACCCTTATTGGAGATCTTCAATGAATGTAGAAGTTTAACGGGGGTGGGAGAATTAAACCCTTATTGAAGATCTTCAATGAATGTAGAAGTTTAACGGGGGTGGGAGAATTAAACCCTTATTGAAGATCTTCAATGAATGTAGAAGTGTAACGGGGGTGGGAGAATTAAACCCTTATTGAAGATCTTCAATGAATATAAAGTTTAACGGGGGTGGGAAACTTATATTCCCTAAATACCCTTGTTGATCTTCCCAATTGAATGTAAAGTCTAACGTTTGATATCCCCAAGTGTACAGCAGAGAAGGGGTGTGGGCGAATCGGGGTGTTTGCGCGTAATACTACCCTCCTGCAAACTACCATCGATATGAAAAAACCCACCACTTTCTTGTAGATCATTGTCCTTGGAACCCCATGAATTGTCCAATATCTACCTTAAGTACTATATTGATTGGGATTATTGAAATTAGGATCATTGGGATATATATTGGGATCATTGGGATTTGTCCACAGATCCAATGTCAATTTATAGTGATTGGTGTACGTACACTGTATGAGTATTGTAGATGCAACATGATGCTCGGTCACTGGGGATGGTCAAATTATGGGACGCATTTTGATGGTGTTCATGAATTTCATATAAAAACCATGAAAATCATAATGTTGATCATCATGTTTATATGGTGTTAACATTTCTAGCCACATCATGTTTGTCAACCCAAATGAACCATTTCCCCTAGCTCCCCCCAAGCTCCCTATCCTGCAGTTGGCGCCAGCGGCGCAATCCTTCCGGACAGCGCAAGAGGCGGAGCAGTTCCTAGAGTTCAGCCATAGGGAATGATAGGCCCCATTTCATGGTGGAAATTTATGATTAACAATGGCTGTAAAGCATGTGTTGAATTTATGAAGAAACGAAACCTGGATCTTCGGGTTTTGTTCAATGTGCTTTAGCGAGAAACTATGGGTCCGTAAGAAATATGGAGATACGACGCACCAAAGATGCGAAGTTCACCATTGCTGATGAGCTGATGCTTTTATCATATCTCCGTCCCGCACATCCCCGTGATGCCACAATTCCCACGTGTGTTTTTCAACATGGTGAACCCCAATGCCCTTTTTCGTAGTGGTCGATTTTCGTACGGAAGGTCTTGGGGTCCCAGAACCAGCCTCCCTCGTGTCCTTGTCGGGCGCTTCATGCCCGGAACGGTGGGCCGCCCGCTGCGATGCACCTGAGGGATTGGTCACCGAGGGCATCGTGGATAGGTGATGATAGGTGCACGGTCTGGTCCTAAGCTGGCAATCTGATGTTACAGTTTTCTTTGAGCTTAGCAGCTAGGCTACAATTGAGCCGGCTCATGCAAAGCTCCACATCTCTTCATGGCAAAATACCCAATGATTGGAGGTTTCCCAGCTCCTGGATAGCATCAAATGAGCTCTTAAAAACCGGCTGGTTTTCCGAACGGGAAACACCCAGAATCAATGGATGATCATTCCCATAGATTGCAGATATTGGATAGATTTAGATATTTCAGATAGATACAAGACCCTATCATCAACCACTCAATATTTAACCCCCATATAATTCATGGTTAAATCATGGGTCTAAGTCCAGAATTGACGGGGTTTTGGAGTTTGAACCCGCCGAATCGATGGTTAAAACCCATCAAAATGCTGCTGGTTTAACCCTAATTCATGGTTTAACCCTAATTGAGTTTGTCTGAAAATAGGGTATATTCCCAATGAAATAGCCATTTAATAGGGATTGTCTGATCATTAACATTCATTAACCATTGGGTTTAGGGGTACACGACATTTTCAGACACACCCAATTGATGGTTAAAACATTGTAAATTGGGATTTCGCAGCCACTGCTCCGCTTAGGATCCCCTGCTTCGGCGCTCGCCCCAGCCGCCCCATCTCCATCGCAGCAGCCGCAGCATGGCACGGCAAGGCGCTGCAAGGAGGTCAGGCCAGCCATCGCAATGCCGCTGTGAAAATTGGGGGATACCCCCAAAATAGCCATTTTGATAGGGGTACCCTCTGGTAAAATCAGATAACTATGGAAAATCACCATGTTTCATGGGAAAACTCACTATAAATGGTGATTTTCCATAGTTATGTTATTTTACCAGAGGGTACATAGTGAATTGAATAGAGTTTCCCACTAAATTCTCAGAACGAACAGCCTGGACCCTCCACAACATCTCAGGACTTGTGGACTTGGACATGTTGAATACGCATGATGGCCGCATGGTGTCTTAATAAAATTGGCTTTTATGTTTGCAATTTTGAGGCAGTTTTCATGTTGGGACTTGAGTAAAATATGTTTTATATAATATATATATATATGGGTCTGTCTGGCGATTAACCGTTTTACCATCAAAATTTGATTATACATATATCCTACTACCAGTATACTATGTTCAGACAAACCTATGTTGGGATTTGTAGGGCGTTTGATCGGTCCTTTTGAGGCCTAACCTTCTGCCTCCGCATCCCATGTTTCACAGCTGCTAAAGGCAGGGACATGGCACGGATGACAGGGCTGGAAATGCCACTTGAAGCCCTCGGGGACTTTCGGGCTATCGAAAGTTGGGTTTCAATGGTGTCGTTTTGATTGGTTTTAACGCATTGCTGGAACGCAACAAACACTTTTCACAGACCTCAATGCGTAGGCCGTGATTCACCTTCCACAAGAGGTGTCATAGGGGAAAAAAAACGGAAAACTGATGATTTATACTCTGGACCCGACCAAACAAGTTGTAGATCGCTTCAATGTATGGATAATATGGCACAACAGTACAGTTGTTTAGGGAATTATGGAGGGATATGTTGGCTTCCCAGCCAAAGGAGGTATCCTCCAACCGCCCCAACAAAGGAGTGGGATCAGCGTGACCAAAGCTGTTCATGGGTACCCTCTGGTAATTTAACAGTTTGCTATTGAAAATGGCCCAGTCGAAATAGTGGATTTTCCCATGAAAAATGGTGGATCTTTCAGTTCGCTATGTTAGTTTACCAGAGGCTAAATTCCATTGATTGATGGCCAAATCCAATGTGTTCACTATCTTAAACCATGTTAAACCCCATTAGCCATGCAGCCGGATCTACTTGCTGGTTTTGTTACGCCCAGAGTATCCCCTAATTATTGGTTTAATGCCATTCTATCCACTGATATCTCTATTGCAATATGGTCATTACCAATGTTTGATTGTTGAAACCTTTGCAAGACCCAAGATATCCACGTATATCCACGTATATCCACGTATATCCACATCATATCCCTTTTGTGGTTGGATGTGGTTGGTAAACATCCCCGTTCTTGTCGCTAAGCCATGGAATATCCGGTTAAAACCACCGGTGGCAGGGCGCACATGGGCGTGGTGATGGAGGCGGAGATGGGCACACCTTTTCGTACCGCCTGGTCCGCGAAGATGATCGAAACTTCCATACTCTTCGAGGATGATATACCCTCTGGTAAACTAACATCTATACTAAGTTGGTTAATGGTAAGTTGGTTTATAACTCCAATTTCACTATGGTTTATGGATGTTTATGGTAGATATCACCAACTTATACCTTCTGGTAATTTAGCAGTTTGCTATTGAAAATGGCCATAGAAATAGTTGAATTACCCATTAGACATGTTGATTTTCCATAGCAAACTGTTAGTTTTCTATAGTGAAGTATGGTAGAAATATAGAAATATATATGGTCAAATCCCAATTCTCATGCTACTGATAAGATCTGATGTATCTATAAATATGGTAATATATGGTATATTTGGTACATGGTAGATATATTGGAATATATATTTATACTCTCAGTAATCGTAAGATGAATTTACAATCATAGTTCAAATACCATAAAGTTGTTCATAATAATTGATAGATACTGTTCAGTTGTACTTTCATCCATCGCATCATGGGAATCCATAGAATGGGTATAGAATATGTTTTATATGTGTATGGGTACCATACATAGCATATGCTATAGCAATGTGTAACAATTTATCATAGTTTACTTGGCAAATGATCTATGTATACATCAACGAATCTACTGTAGCAATCATGCATACAACAATTCAGACATGGATGATATTCATCTTATAGTCCTTATATCTATAGCGCATTCAAATACATTGTATGCCAATGTGCAACTGTGCAACAATAGATCACAATAGATTCGTAGATTGCACAATGCACGTATGTACCTATATTACCACGCGTTGATCAGTCTCAACTTACCAACAAGCCTTGCAGAAAATCTGTTGCCGAATGATTTGTTCAAAGAATGTGGAACAAACTCCAGACGAAAAATCGTCGATCGAAAATCGAAAAATAAAAATAACTACTCTCTGGTTGTTTAACGTATTTACCATGGTTCAATGATTTATGATTTATGATGATTTTCCAGTTCGCTACATTAAACAGCTAGAGGGGAGTTTCAGGGTCTTTCATGAACACAAGTTCCTCCAACCTCAGCCTGTACGAATGTTTTGTTCCCTTTTCACTCCGCTGTCCGCGTCTAGTCGAAGAGTCCACCACTACTCAGTTCTCCCACGTCGAATCTGAAGACATTACCTCCGGGCAAAGTTCGGTCAACCTTGATCTCCAACCGTAAAAAATATGGAGGAAAACAATGATTTCAAGGTTAAAAATCACTTGTTTCATATACTTTTAACATCTGTTTGCTGGGTATCTGGAGGTGTCAGGATCTAGGAAGATCTCTGGATCAAGGAGGCCACCCCGGCAGTTTGGACCAGTGGCAAGGGCCCAACTTTCGAGGCAAGTATGGAAAGTCGTCCTCGTCACTAAATCCTTGGGTTTGGGCGGTTCGGAATCGTGTTGAAAATTGATACAGTACCATGTGGTTTCCCAAATGATGAATGCCGGTCACTCAAACAACAAAACATGGTATCAAGTATCAATCAAGCTGTATGGATCTGTATGGGAAATTAAATTTGAACTCTGTATGAAATGCAAAAGTTGTTGTTTGAAGACATTGCTAGACTTCTTTTCACTTCAGCAAAGACTGGAACGGAAAGGATCTTGGAGACGTTCTCCGAGCTCTGTTTCAATCACCCAGCCATCTGGGCATTTTTCTTCCAAATATCCAGGATGGTCTTATCAACTGCTTCCTGACAAAAATCAAGCTATCCAGCTATCAACTTGGTGGGTTTTTCATCCAGTTATACCTTTGTGCCTGACTTGACACAATGATCCAAAATGTGTGCCAAGGGTCGATAGAGGAGGTACAGGATCTTCGTCAAGCAGTTCCCTGGACTGAAGATCTCCACTGCCTGGGGCACCACGAAAAGATTGGCTTAGGAAGATGTATATATGTGAAATGATGTTCCTGGTTTCAGAAATGGTCAAGATGATCTAGGATGGCACATGGGATGAGTCCCAAGCTTGGAGAATATGTCATAATATGTCATAATCATTCATAATCTACCAATCGTAGAGATTTGTTCCAACTGCTCATCCTTTGTTGACCGATTTCACTGGGTGCATGCCCACCTCGACCATGGCGCCATGAGAAGTGGCTCTGGATCAAGAATGGGGGACCAGTGGACCCAGAAATGTTAATCTCCAGCATTCGCAAATTCCAAAATGATAACGATGGGACGATGGGTGGCAATAAATTTGAGCCAACCCCAATTTGATTCCGACTCAACAGCTTTTTCGTCCATGGGAACACTGTGGGAATTCTCAGATCCCAGTTGCACTAGCCACCACGTTGCCCTCATGACTTCTGAGACGTTTTGCCATCGCGAAGGCCTCGACAGGAAGGGCATAGGCATCTTTTGGCATCATGGGGAACCTCAAAACCTCCTCCATCTTTTCCGGTTCTTATGGCTATCAATGTGGGATTTTAGGGGATTTTAATGTGACTTAATGGGATTTTATGGGATTTGATGGGGATTTTTTTGTGAAGCCCATTTTTGAGAACTGACAGCTAAAAACCGGCTAAAAACCTCCCCAGAACTGGGCCACTGTGGGTCTTTTGGTATTGAAAAAACTCAACACGTATAGCCCATGTCTTTGTTGGTCAAATTGTGTTATATAAACCTCCATGTCTTCAGAAAAACAGCGACATTGCTTTAAATGCGTAGACAAACATTGCTACCAACATTGCTGCCCAATGTACCAGTGCCCTGCAAAAGAACTCTTTCTTAAGAAAGAGTTCATGTTCGGCTCATTAAGAAATGATTGTCCAGTACCAACAATAAATAAACGTTTTGGCCTAGAAATCACGTGAATAAAAAACAATCAAATGGTGACGGTTCCCATTAAAAAAATAGTAATAATAATCATAACGCAAACAATCATCATAATCATGATCATAATAAATAAACAAATGGCAGTGTGTCAAAACCTTGTACCCCTGGTGAACATCAAAATAGCTGGTAAATGGATGTTCATCCCCATAAAAATTGTATTAATAGGTATTGATCCATACCCAAATAATATACAAGACAACTGAACTAGTGATCTGCCTTCTCCAGGATCTTTCGTCCACGGCCACCTGAGGATTTCTCCACCTGGTCCAACTCATCCTCACGCAGATGGACCAGGGGCATGCGGGGCCATTAAAAGATGGTCGCCTAAGTATGCCTGAAGTAACAAACATGCATTAAAATGCCTAATAAGTAACAATGATACATAAAAACGAGTAAAATTTAAAAACGAGTAAAAACAAACAAAGGAAAGATGACAAGCTAGTATCGATGAAGAGTTCACCAAACAGCTTTTGGAGCAGGTTCAAGAGATTGGAGACACTCACCAACAAACAACCAACTGTAACCAAGTATGGCTCAACATTGACAGAAAGGCCCATGTTTATCGTTACCCTGAATCAAACATAGCAATGGAACATCCACCATCAATCACCGTTCATCATCATTCCATTCATCATGATTGACCACTATTAGCCACTATTAACCAGTATTAACCAGTATTAACCAGTATTAACCATGGCTATTAACCAGTATTCATTACCATTCACCAATGGTTTTCCCATCCATCTGGATCCATCTCTGGGGAGATGTGACAATGTGCGATCCCGGGACGACGCTCCGTTGAAGCTATGTATCCCAATATGTATCATATAATAAGATATAATAAGTACATTGTATCCCAATATGAATCATAGATGTGTACTATTAGTACTAATAATATTTAAGTATCATATTAAATTTAAATATCATATACATATTGGGAAAAAATAAGCCCCCCCCCTAGAATCATCAACTGCCGCTCCTGGGAGGGTCCCACGGGCACGTTGGGATCGTTGGGGTCCGCGCGATCCAGTAGCAGCAGCGTGGAAAGATTCACTTTACCTTGGATCAGGGAGAATAGTTCCCAAAATCACCAAATTCTGATGGATTTTCAAAATTGGTACTATATATTCATAGGTATTACCCGAAGAAGACCATTTTCCCACTTCCAATTTGGGATAATCATTGGTTGCAATATCCCAAAATGTCCCAATTTCCAAGCAATCCCTAGCAGAAAAGTCCGAGGTTTACCATTAAAAATATTCAAATGGATGGTTCTACATCAAATTAAGTACGTACCATTTGCATCCATTTGCGAGTTTTGGATTTTGTTCATTAAGAATTACAAATTTACGCTTCAAAAAAAAATCTGAACTTCACCTACATCCATGGATGTAGAAGTAAGATTTAAATCAATTTGATCCGAATAAATCTCAATAACCATCAAATAACCATCAAATATCCAAGATTTAAATCTCCAATAACCATCAAACAACCATCAAATATCCAAGATTTAAATCTCCAAAAAAGAATCAAAAAAACAGATCTCCAATTTCACGGGCCGATCCACGGGCCGCCATGGCACTATTCTCCAGTTCCTGCGCGTGTTGCTGCAGAAACTCCGCCGCCTCCAGGATTTCCGGTGGCCTGGGAATACTGAAAAAATGGGCCCAAAATTGGGGATTGAAGCGCGAAACACTGGGATAGAATGGAGTCCATCCAATCTAAGCCAAGAATATATATTATATATACGTATTATATATATATAGGTATAGACTATATTATATAGAAATATCATTGAATGATGGTTCTGTTTTGTTGTCTTGGGTTCATGACTGCTAATTGACTGTCACAAATCGTCCAAAGTGCGGAATTTATGGTTGCTGGCCTTCATTTTGCCATCAAAAGCCTCCAAGGCCATCGTGATGGTCCAATTCTTGAGGGATATCCCAATTGTCGTTTCAAGAGGAAAATATGGAAAAATGACGTTCAGGCAAACTTGAAACCGAGAGTCGTGTGATGCTCATCAGGAGATAAATCACCTGTCCAGTGACCCCCAATCTGATGGCCACAGGGTGGACTGCAGATCAAACCAGCAAAGAAAACGTTCAAGTTTTCCTGGGGGTGTCACCGCTTCTGATAAAGACATATCAAATCCACCCAAGCAAAACAAAGGTTCTGTAGTACTGTAGCCTGAATTTGCCCGCAAATTCATGTTCTTCCCCATGGAAATCAAACATGGCAAGGGGGGAATCATCCATGGTGGATCAGTCAGTTGCACCTTGCAGATCGCTCAAGCTCACCCACGCGGCCGGAAGGCTCCGCGGAAGCAGGACTGCCAGCAACCCTGGGAAGCCGGAAGCTGGAAAAACTCAACTGCTCCAGGTCATTCTAGGTCTTGGATGGTATTGGATGGTATTGGATGGTATCTTCTGGGGAAAATCCGGGTTCCCTTAGCCAACCTCTTGAAAAACCAAAAACGATCATCCCCATGGTCATCCATGGCCAAGGGACGAAGCAAAGCACCAGCCGCCATGGCGCGCTTGTGGGTCACCACAAGCCCATATGTAAAAGGACCTGAACTTAAACAGCCTTGAGCCTACAGCCCCGGAGCAGCAGATCCCATGAAGTAGCCAGCTGATTCAAAAGTTGATGCGGCGAAAAATTAGATCCTCCAGGTTTTTTTTGAAGGTCAACAGCAGTCTATCTTGAAGAATGTATGTATACATATTATATATATAATATAAGAGCCATTGATCAAGAATACCTGACGCAAATTATATAAAAGCCATTCCTCAAGAATACCCACTAAGTGACTCTAGTGCGCTCAAAACGCACCAAATCCCATACATCTTCTCAGATCTTGAGGATTTCTAGCATCACCGGTGTGAATCGTTAGGAAAAACATATCGGAAATGTGCCTTATAGAGTTATAAGTTATATATATATATTATACATCATTTATTTTACATCATCTTGTCTTGTGATTTGTACAAATACCCCCTTGAATTCGCATGTCTTGTTCTACCAAACCCCAGCTGTTCAAATTGCAACAAGCCTCATCCCCCAGTTCGTGGAGCAAGAAGCGTGCCCGTGTAGGGCCTGGGAAGCGTTACCGGCGATGGCTCGCTGGAAAATCCACCAAAATTGCATGTGTTTTCTGGTAAAATATGTCGATAATAGTCTATAAATATTAGAACGCATGAACATCAGTGTGGGAAAATCATCGAACTAAATAGAGTTTACTGAGTTTACTAGGGTACAATTGATCATTGAAAATGGAAGCTTACGTTGGGGTAAATACTTGATATTGTGATTATGTATATATATGTATATATATATGTCCTGAATTCAGCGGATTTGCTGGTTGTTGGTACCAAATCTAGGAGGTAGTGGACGATTACGGTGTATTGACAAGCAAAGTGGATTGGATGCGGGACATCAATGAACATAGCATCACCAGTCACCCATCATCGCCAGGTCGTTGTGTGGCTGATTCTCAGCCCCAGAGAATGACTATGTGGACTTATCCCCTTAACGGTTCTGTGTGGATCATCACTAGAAACTGCCGGGTGACAGGAGTCATTGAAGACTTTCAGGGCTTCTCCAGCGCATGTATCCCAGCTGTCGGTGAATCTACTCCATTTTGGTTAATTGAGATGCCAAACAGTAGAACTTGGATGGAACTTGGATAAGTTGGACATCCCCAGTCCTGAAGTTTCACCAAGATTGGGTAAAAACCACATATTCAAATATAGTGTGTGTGTGTGTATGTATATATATATTTATTTATTTATTTATCAATGCATATTCCGCGGATATTGGATTGATATCCCATGTACATCCCGATAAGTTCGTCCCATTCATAAGTTCTCTAGATTGATATCCCATGTGCATATATATATATAATGTTTCATTATATCCTATCAAAATTCACATCCCACATATTTTTTCACCCAAGTTTCCCGAACTGCTGGCTACCCCACCGTGCGTGCTGAGCACAGCCTCCAGGGACTCTAACCACTCCTCCGTTTCCTGGCTGAAAATTGAGATTCATCCAACAAAAAAGGGGATTGAACCGGTCAATCAACCCCACATCGGAACATAGTGACATAGTTGGAGTTTGAACCAATAATGATGATTTAATTGATTTTTTAGTTGGTTTATGATAGCTAAGTTGACGCACATCACCCGCTTTACGAAGCTTTATGGGGGATAAAACTGTACTTGATGGGTTTATAAACCAAGTTGTGGGGGATTTGGGGTTACCCTCCAGTAATCAAACATTGGAAAATCCTCCATTTATAGGGGGATTATCCCATAAAAAACCGTCCTTTTATAGGGGGTTTCCAATTGCCACGCTTGATTACCAAAGGGTATGGCCATTGAATTGGATACATAGAATCAACAGTTGTTATGGCATATAATATATATGTATAAGAATGGGAATATATGGTATGGTTAAGTTGACGCAACAGGTATTGCTTAAAAACAAATTAATCCCATGATTTGTATATATAGAAATAAATAAATAAATAAGTGAATAAATAAGTGAATAAATAAGTGAATAAATACATAAACAAATAAATAAATAACCAACAATAGTCGGAATATAATAAAGATATGTCATGGTGATATATATATAATTAATCAAGAACATGATGGTTGCTGTGTCTGAAAATGTGGTAATAACCCCCATTCCATAGATGGAATGGGTAGCCTATGGTATCTGACAAACTCATGTGGGAAATAGTTGGGATATGTTGGTGACACTATGGGGACATGTGGTGATATCTTTATAAATATATATATATGTATGTATGTTATATGCGTGTATGTATGTGGGCTAGCACGGTTGATAGGCGTTTTCCTGTGACTGATATGTGGTGAAAGCATGGTGAAAATGATGACTGTGGGCCAGTAGGGATATTTCATCCCTTGGTCGTGGTGACCACTCTAACACTTTACATTATTTACATATGTGACTTAGTAGGTTTATAGGGATATTTGGGTGACGATGTTTAACTAGCAAAATGGGCTAATATTTACCAGCCGTTGTGGATTTGAGATAGCAAATCATTGGGTCCTGGTAATATGGGTGTTTCTCAAAATTGTGGGACCCAAAAACCACAGCATTCCCCATTGAAAATTGCAAAAATCATTGGTTTTTTCCCATATTTTGCCTTGCTGATGGTTTCAACACAGTCATATGCAGGGACGATCACTGCTCAGTCATGCAAATCATCTGGTTGTTTTTTTGGATTTGAGTGACTGATACCACCAGATGATGGATATAATCCATGGGAGAATCTACATGGAAGCTCTAGAGGACTGGAGGGGCAAAACGTCAGCAACGTCAGCTTTCCCAGTGGGTTGATACTGGGGTAATGAACCATGAACATTCCAACCATCCACGGCAGTGTGCCAAGAGAAGTTGGAAGCTCGCCATTTTCCAACAACAACAAAAAAAGTCATCCCCTAAAAGATCGCAAAGTAAAATCCCATTGAAATAGTGTTAAATCATTGTTCTATCATTTTGGGGGGTTCTAGAGAGGAATATATATATACTATATACGTATAATATACACATGTTGTCACTAGCTGGCGGCTTCTCAAGTTTGGGGAACTTCCCCTGCGACTGCAGCCGCCAAGGCTATCAGCAACAGAATAAACGCATCAGCATCATCTCGTCACAAACGCATTCATCATCAATCACGAACTCAAATCAAAAATAATGGACAATCATATTATAGTAAAAATGATCATCGTAAGAATGATCACAATGCTGATGTTTTTCACATTATGATAATAGTAATTTTAAATAACATATCGTTAATAGAAGAAAACGAAGAAGTACCGTCGTCGACATTGGCGTCATCCAACCCCCGGAAATCTCGAAACCTCTCAGCTCCAGGCCTCTGGGTCAAAGCGTGGCAAGACCTTCCGCAAGGACGCCATATTCGATGGATAGTGACCTGAGGACGAAAAGCCACGAAAAGCCACGGTGCGTTGTCCACCGTATTCTTTGAAAAGGCTGGGGTGAGGTGCGAGCGCAAGTTCTGTCTTTGTTCATGTCCGTAAAGAACATATTAACTTAATTTAACTTCCTGATTTCTATGACTTTTCAAAAGAATGCAATGCAGGAATTCCAGTCAATCCATACGTCTTTTTTTACGGGTCCCAGTACTGAGCTCCTGCACCCCTGTACTGATCCATGAAGGCCAAGGAGGCCGCGAAGGATGGCATCTGCGGAGCCAACTTTTCGATCTCGATTTAAGGCAGTTCCTGTAAATATACAGAATAATTTTGTGTGTGTGTGAGTGTAATAGTGTGTATTTATATCTATGTATGATATAATTGCAGTATTTATATGTATTTATGTTTTATGTGTGTATGTATAACTAGACCAAAGTACATTTGAAAATGAAGGGGAAATGGAAAGAATGACCTAACGTCAACAAACATATCCAGCAAACCTAATGCTTGGCTAGTCAACCCATTGGTTGATTCGCTGGTCGTTGAGACAGCACAAAATATAACGGTCAACTAAGATCATCATCCCGGTAGGGAAAAGCATCAAACAGCCAGGTTCATTGGTTCTCTCCACATTGGTGAAGTAAAATCCAGATTTTTCTTCTGAAAATCCCTAAACTTCAAAAGAACATCAAATTCTATGAGTTTCCAGTATATATAATATACATATATATATATGTTTCATCCACATTCATCCACTATCTAGCCCAAAATCATAAAATCACCACGTGTCTTCGTTCGATTTTGCTGCAGGCCTCACCACGAAGAGTCTGGGTGAAGTCACCTGGCGAAGCTTCGCAGAGCCGGCCGTTGAGCCATTGAGCCATTGAGCCATGGGATGATCGACCCCATATATTCGGATGATCAAAGATCATTTAAAATGATTATGATATCAATGATATCCATTTATATCCATGTATATCCATTCAAGAGATTTTGAGATATTTCGCGATGATGTATGATCTAAGATCATTTACAATAAATCCCAAGCATTCCGAAACCAGATGTCCGGCCGCTTTTGAAAACCCCTTCCCTACTATCATTTAGCCAGGTCAGGGTTCGGTCGCATCATAGCCTCCACCCCCTTAGACACCCCCGGTTTCAACTTGGGCCTCTGAACAAAGCCACAAATCTGCAAAACTGTGAGTTCGATAGAAAATATGGGCTGAAAACGGGGTATCGTAGGGGAAACGATGATTATCCATTGGGTTTAGGGTACACTATTTCAGACACAACCATATATTTGGATGTCTGAACCCCTGCCACAATCCGCCAGGAGCACTGTATGAAACCTCCCCTTTTTTCTTCCGGTCGAACATCTCAAACAGAATGTCCGACCTTCAAGCGGGGTTCAGGGGGATGGAAAGAAGCCAGCGGGCATCAGCGGGCATTGGTTGCAGGGGTTCAAGGCCAACCCCAATGACCAGATGTTTGGCATTGAATCGGGATTGAGAGTCTTTCGAGCGTTGCCCAATAATCTCGCATTTCCCAAACCCCTGAGTTGATGTTCTATTTGCGTGAAACGGATAGTTTGGGTACTCCCTTCATCTTCTTCGCAGATACTGCGGGACTCCCACGTCGAGCTCCCGACTCGCCCTCCTTCAATGACAGGCCCACCTGCCATAGGATACCAGAAGCAGAAATGAGTCGAGGCAATTCGCTAAGCCAAGTTGTCCAATAATAAATTCAAAACTCCATGGCCGAAACCATCTCAATAGTTTTTTTTGCAATTCAAGATTTACATACAGTCATATTATATTCATCTTATATTCATAATATATTCACATTAATTTCATATTGTATTCGTATCATAGTCAGTCCATAGTTTCCCCATGAAAATGGCCATGGAAAAACTCGCCCGGCAAGGCCGTGTCCATCAAGAAGCGAAATTCATCGGAACCTCTGGCGGACTTTACTGGAAAAAAACGGTGGATACACCAAAAGTGCCTACGAAAAAAATGGTGAACAAAAATCCATATTTGTAGTATAATATGACCAAAAGTGCGTATGAAAATTGTGAATCTGTTGAACATATTTGCATGTAGACTCTAAATACCAACAGTGCCTATGAAATTATAAATTGTGATAACTATCGTTTAACTATTCACATATGCATACTAGGAAACCATGAGGGGCTTGTGGCATCCAACTTCAAGATTTTTTGAGACGTAGCCATTCTGATTTCATGGCGAAAGAGATGATCATAGCTGGTACCTGGACCCTGAAAGTACCCCTAAGAATGGCTCACAATTTACTATTACTGTGTATAATAGATATATAAAGAGTGCACTAGCCCTCCTTTTTTCATACCCGCTTCGCAGCGATTTGTTAAATAAGGAAATTTAGATAAGGTAAATTCCAAGGTTCTCTTTTACCAAGTGCTTGTCTGGCCAAACCCATGACAGCACATCTTTCATTTCAAAAAGACGGTGAGGCCGAGCCAAACCAATCAACACTCACCCAAAAAGAGATTCCCACAGATCTCTCCATCTTCAATCTTTTGAGCGCCTATGACGCTTCATGGAAGATCCTTGCTTAGGTCTTCGTTTAGCAGCTTTTCCGGGGGGGGGAGGGTGAGGGAGCTAAAAGCCAAACACTACAGGGATGAATAAAGGTTCGGGGAGTGACTCTTTATACCCGGGGGCGTGGGTCCAAAGAGTGCACTAGCCCTCCTTTTTTCATACCCGCTTCGCAGCGATTTGTTAAATAAGGAAATTTAGATAAGGTAAATTCCAAGGTTCTCTTTTACCAAGTGCTTGTCTGGCCAAACCCATGACAGCACATCTTTCATTTCAAAAAGACGGTGAGGCCGAGCCAAACCAATCAACACTCACCCAAAAAGAGATTCCCACAGATCTCTCCATCTTCAATCTTTTGAGCGCCTATGACGCTTCATGGAAGATCCTTGCTTAGGTCTTCGTTTAGCAGCTTTTCCACGGCCCCCTGAACTTCCGTTAGGAGGCTCAAGGGTAGAAATAGTGAGACGATTGCGCTGTTGGGTGAAAACATGGAGGAAGGGAGACAGGGAAGGGAGGGAAGGGGGAAGAGACAACTCGGCTAAGATAGATAAGCCCTCGTTGATATAGATCCTAGCCGTCTTTGGGGTTTGCCACCGTCCTTGTAACAAAATTTTATCCAAGGAGTGGTGTTTAGAGAACCACCAGGTGGCACCGCCACGCCTCAAACTGTAAGGACGGAACCCCATGTCCTGGAGCTTAAGAGCTTCAAGTGCTTTGTTAAACAAGGACCGCCAATTTGCCGCACTGGGTGCCAGAGGGGTCTTGTCTGGAGCTAATAGCTTCCAGTGTCGCACAAACTTGACGACCAAATCGTACCCAATTATAGCTGACTCAGCAGCACCCTGTCTCTTACCTCCCTTAGTCATACCAAGTGAAACCAAAACCTTAGCCTGGGATGCCTCGCACAGGAGCTGTGAAGCCCTAAGCTCTAGTATCTCCCCAGTACGAAGCATTCCATAAAACCCCAACAAAAGTGAAACAGCAAAAGTAAACCGCTGGTGAAACAATGCCCATCCAACCATAGCATGCAACACGTGGGCAGGCAGCGGTGGGGCCCTATTGGGCAACTCATTCACCGACCAGGTTTTTAGGAGCCTCCAGGCACCCTGGAGCTGTCCGCGCAAGCGAACATCCTGGTTTTGTAACCCAGCAACGGTGTCGCTGGCCACAGCTCTACCCTGTCCTGAGGACCATAGGAATTCCAGATACTCACAAACCAGGGGATCTAGCTGGGCTCGTTGCCGAGGGAGCACAATGTCATTGCGTTGTAAAAAGGACAAAAAACCATCGATGGCACGGGTGTAACGTTGTTTTGTGGCCGGCTGCACTGTTAACTCTTGCAAGGTTCCTAGTTTTTGTCTCTGCTTTGCTCTCTCATGCTGTGTAGTAGCCTCAACAATCCTCTTAGGCATTTCTAAACTTTGTACGCACACGAACCCCCCATCGGCTGGGCCGATCGGCGGGGTTCTGATCAGTTTGTACGTAGCCCCACAGGGCTTGATTGCCACTACACAGTAAGAGAGCATTGATGCGAGACAAAGTGGATCGAAGCTTGCGGCTGCTGGAACGGCCCCGCGCCAGGGCGTGCAAAACCACAAGAGAATCGACCAAATGTAGGAACCTGCAATTGACCTGATGTTTGTGATGTATTCTCCATTTCAGGGTCGTGAGCACTGCGCGCATCTCTAACGCATTGATGTGCTCCGGATCACCTGACCAGCGCCAACCGGAAACGATTCGCCAGCGCCACAACCTGGCGGGGATAGAAGCCCTTAGGCGGTGAAAACGTGCCAACTGGCTAGAGGAGGTTGTTAATAGAATATCTTCACCCTTCACGCTGGTGAGATTTCCCAGCTTCTGAACCAAGATGGTTTGATCGGCTGACCCTGCGCCCCGCAAAGGTCGGAGCGTCGATCGCCACAAGCGAGATTGCAAGAAAGTTTGGTGAGCAGGGTTAAGAAAGTCCACGATCTCCTGTGGAGTGAAGCATGGGCACAAACCCAAGGGTCCGCACAATTGCCCGAGGAACCATGCTACCACTGGGACACTCCACGTGTTTCCCAACAATGAGTGACGCAGATCCTTGTGTTCAATACTTCCCCTGTGTTGCTTAGGGCTGCAGGCCATGGTATAGCCTACCGGGAACCCCAGCATGTATTCTTTCTCTGCAATGGTAGGAAGACGCATATGGTCCTGCTTGTTAATAAGCAGGTTTTTTGCCGTGTGCTGGTAAGGCGGGAATCTGAATGAATCCTCTGCCCAGCGATCCAGGTCGGCCTGAGTGCAACTGTTGACCCCCGCGGGCTTGTGCCCTGGCCTAGCACGAGGTCTTGACGTCGTAAATGTTGGGAAGGGACGCGACGGGTCCACTTTAATCCACCCTTCTTCGCATACCTGCTCCAAGTCCTGACATGCGGTCAGGACCACCTCCGCAGGAGCCCCTGGCTTCCCGGATTGCAGGTAGGCCCCAGGTTGCTCCGCAATGTCCCAACTTATCCAGTACAGCCGTGGCCGACTGCACCAGGTCAACTGCCCCGCATCGCAGGCCCACGGCTCACCCCCGAAATCCGCAGACATAGTTGCTCTGTCTTCTGCGTCCATGGAGGCGACGCTCTCCATCAAACAGTGGACCTGACACAATGGAAATTGCACCCTGACCAGAGACCATATGCGTTTGACATGGTGAAACAGGCTCGAGCGTTCATCCCGAAGGGCCCCCTTGCGCTGGGCATTGAGCCCACTCACGCCCTGGCACGGCGGTCCCGCACCGATGATAATCAATGAGGCTTGAGAAAAAGCGCATGCCCAGGAATGGACTTCGTCCTGTGTAATAGCGGCTACGTCGGCGTAGTGTTGAGCCTCTGGAAAGTGAGAGGTCACTACCCGTTGGGCTGCAGAATCCTTTTCCACGCTGATGTGACCCATCACCTGTAACCCCAACAAGTCACAAGCGACCCGAAGCGCGCCAATCCCGTCAAAGAGCCCAATTGTCACCACCCGATGCTCTTGTCGCAGCTCGGGAAGCTGCCCTCTCAGACATCCCTGCGCAGCCAGGCTGCCAGCCCGGCTCAGCGCAGTGGAGGCGCACACACCACCTCCTGTTGTGGACGCATCGCTGCAAGTAACCTGCCCCGTGTACTGTAGCCTGAAATCCAGACGTGCCAGAGGAACCAACGCGATAAACCTCAGAATTTCAACACGGCAGGAATCAGGGAGTGCCATTCGATACACCCGTCTCTGTTCAAAAAGCTCTATGAACCTCCATACAGCGTTCAAGCAACCTAGCAACTGCCTCCTGAACATGGAGACATAGACCAGGCCACCACACACAACTTGGACCTGCCGTTGTGTGACCTTCTCCGACTCCATCAAGGAAAGCGCCGCTGCCAGGTACTTCAGGAGCTTGGTTTCCCTTGGGTAGGCCACCCCCAGTCTCCCGTCTACCTGCGCGCCTTGAACTTCTGCCATCTCATTTCGTTCCACCGCCTTCTTCAAATTCCGCGGGACTTCCCAGGTCTCGTACTCATGCCGTAAAGCCAACACCGCAGGAGCACGGCTCCCGACCAAAGTGCTGACATCGACCGACTTGACCTTTTCCAATAGGTCATAATTGTCGAGGTAGATCCGCCATGCTGGATTCGCCACTGTAACCGGACGATCCTTTCGGATCTCGGCCTCCGGCGCTGCTATCCTGCACTCGTCCTCATCCCCCTGGCTACCACTCCAGATGGCCAGGTTGCGATGGACGTGCTGTGCTAGACTCACTGAGTTAGCGAATCCCATGGGCAATACCCGCGAAGCCAGGTAGACCTCCTCGCCCTTCATATCAGGGGGGAGACATTTCTCTGGCACCCGGCGGTTAAACGCCAGGAATTTGTACCAGGCAGCCGGGACTGACATGGTGTAGAAAAAACAACGCACGTCTTCACTGCTAACCAGCAGCGACTCGTCCGGCTGTATCTGGTATGGAGACATGAGGCTCCACATAGGCAAAGTCTCAACGTCACCCTTCATGGGCTCAGCTATCCCATTGAATGGCGTCAAATTCATTATAAGACGATAGACCTCGTGGTCACCCTCCCATTCGTCTTTGGTGACGCCGAATAGGCCATTCAATAGGGGCTTATCACCTACATGAAAAACTTCAGACACACGAAGGAAGACACAAACCCCCGTGCTCACCAATCCAGAGCAAACATCCGGCCAGTCTGCTGGCGACACCATCACCCTGGGCGCCCTCTGGATAACCCAACGTTCCTTTGGCTTAATGTATAGATCCAAATTCTCCACATAGTGCCGTGCCCCGAGAGTGCACACTTCTGACAAGGGCACCCTACCTATCTCCCTTGGAAGGGCGGGTGCTATGTTCTGCCAGCAGAACTCACGCGCGGTTTTTACTTCATCCCCCTTATAATCGATCCCTCTTGTCATAAAGAACTGGTCCCAATCAAACGCCTCCAGCGTCCCTTCCAGGGCACCGATTCTTTTGACATCAGAGACCAATAGGTTCAAGCATTTGACCGCGACACCCTTGACGGGACCCAGAAAATGAACATCGGCACCCCATAGTGAGTTAAGACCCATACAAATACAGGACAACCAGGCGATTTCAAGTGGGGTTAGGTCAGGGAAGAGTTCCAACAGATAACTACTAGAAGTGGGCAAGGGAAATACGGAATTATCCATTCTCTTACCCGTGGACGAGCTGCGAAGCGGAATCACTTCCAGCAGCCACTGTTGAATTCTCAAACCCATATCTACAACCCTGGCTCCTACGAGATCGCCCCAATCTTTTTTCCCCCCAGGCACTCCAGATCCTGAGGTCTCCATAGCACCCTGGCTTTGGGTCGAAAGAGGCAGGCCCTGGCCTTTAAAGCTGGCCGGGTCGCCCGATGGCATTTCATATGGAAAAGTCTTCACCGTGGAGGCAGGCCCTTGCAAACGGCCAAAAGCCTCGTCGGCGGCACAGGAGGTCCTCATCCCCTCCCGCAACGTTGGAGAAATAGCTCCCGAATCGAGCTCAGGAGCTTCCATATTGCTCTGTGCATCGGTCACCCCCTGGCAAGAAGTGCCAGCCTCACCTTGTATTGTCACTTTCTCCCTCCTCCTTTTCCTTTCTCCTTCTTTGCATCCTCTCGCTTGTCTTCCTTCATCGATGAGTCTTTGTCGCTCTTCCCCTTCTCCTTTCCCTTCTGGTTTCCCTTGGCGGGACTGGTGGACTGTGCTTGCCACCTGGCCCTGGCATCCAGATACGACTCCCTCTGGGCCGTCTGGAGCTCTCCTCGTGCGATCAGGGCTGCAGCCTCGCTTGACGCGAGTTCCACCTTCTGCGCCACCGCCCAGGCCGTGCCGTTGGCCACAGCTTCCTGGGCTTTGAGCCTCTGACACATTATATCGAGTGTCAGGGCCGGGCGTCCCTTGAGCAAGGCATCTATTGCTGTTGCAAGGTTCAACAACTCCCTCGCCTGGGGGCCAGAGACACGGCGGCTCAGCACACTCCGATAATAGAGTAGTGCCACTGGCCTCGTCGTGTGTTCTTCTCCGTCTTCCCCTGAGGTTGTCAACAGCTGGCGTCTCATGCTCAGGAGCGTCTCCATCGCTAACGCTCCCGGGAATTTTTCGGCCAGCGCCCTTGCTTTGGTCTCTTCCGAGAAGACTCCATCGCTCCCGACTACCTCGTCCCGGCTGGACGTCGAGGAGCTGGAGCTTCCCTTCGAGCTGCTGGACGTGCTCCGCTTCCCTCGTTTCCTTGCTGCAAAATGCTGGGCTCGGCGCATGACCCGTCTCCTCACGCGTTCCTTTGGGTCTAGTGCCGTCCCCCCGAAGAGGTGACCCAACTCTTTCTGCACTGCTTTCGCGGCATGTCGACCGTCTGCATAGTCCTCCTTCTTCCTTCTCTCCTTCTTCTTCTTTTTCTTCTTGTCCTTTCCCTCTGATATCACAGAAGGTGAACGACTCCTTTTGCGTTTCGGCTCCTTGGCAGCGCCTTCCTCCTCTCTCCTCTGGCGTCCTAGCTCCCGATCCCTTTTCCTCAGGAGCTCGAGCTCGTCTTCGCCTTGGTCTCCGGCTCCGGTCTCGAGACACGTCACCCACCCCTCTTCCTGCGCTTGGCCTTGTCGCCCCTTCAGGGCGTGCAGGAAATGATCGCCACTTTCCTGCTGACCGCAACCCGCAGGGCAAAGGTGTGCCTGGAAGACCTGTTCCCTCCTCCCGCCATGGGCACGGAGGAGTTCTTCGCTGTCCGTCCCGGTAAGAGTGAGGTAAAGGTAAGACCCGTCCTTCACCATTTCCACTCTCTGAACGGTGCCTGCTGCTTTGACCTTCGCACCAAAGTAATTCGCCTCCGTGATAACCAGCGACGACCCCGGCCGGAATTGGTCTAAAGGGACCTGGTGAAGATCGACCTCCGCTCCTCGCGACCATGGGGTCACGCCCTCCTCGTGGGCGGCTGGCCGTCGTCTCGGCGGGTAAGGAGCTGCCCTGCCTCTCCCGACGCCCGCCGCTGCTGGCCTCCTTAGGACTGCCAGCGGGTGTTGCCTCGCGCCCGCTTTTGCCCTGGCTTTTGGTTTTGCTTTTGGTGCCATTTGTCCAGCTTGCTCTGACGTCTCTCCTCGATTTTCTTGCGTCTAAATGCTTGGGCTCTCTGCTTCTTCTTCGCCCCCTTTGTGCCCCTCGCTCTGGGCTTCGGCTTTTCCTGCCTCCTTCTCTGGATAGGCTCCCGCCCTTGACTGTCCTCGTCGTCGTTTCCCCGTCGGATCCCTCCGCTGGACAGTGCAGCGGGGTCAGGCTCACTGCGGTCTCCCTCTGATGGTCGCCTCTTCTGTGGGCCGTAGCGCACCAGGGAAGGTCTCTCACGCACCGCCTGAGTGGAACGCTTAGGAGCTGGGTATAGCTCCAAGTGGCGCCCCGACCCTTCCGATTCACGGGGACCGCCGTCCGGTTCGGCAGGAGCCCTTCCTGCCGGCTCCCGGGGCTCGACAGGCCAGTCCTTCTTGTCGCTGTCTTGCTTTGTCTTGTCCTCCTCCTCTTCTTCAATCTCTTCGACCTCCTCTTCCTCTGATGATTCTAGTGTCTCCTCACTCGCTGCTTCCGACTCCCGCTTAGCGTCAGGAGCGATGACAGGCCCGGAGGTGAGGCCACGCGTTTCCTCCTTTGGTGGCGTGGAAGTCTGGCCCTTGTCCTGGACCAGGTTATCTTCCACAAGGTCGGAGAGCTCACCAGCTGCCCCACGGATGACCTCTGCCACTCGCCTTTCTTGGTCAGGCCTCAAATGGCCTGACCGCAAGAGGCCTTGTAGGCGCTTGACTGCTTTGCACGCACCGCAGCTAGGAGTACCCTTAAAGACTCCGCAATCGGCGCACGACATGAGCTAAAAGCCAAACACTACAGGGATGAATAAAGGTTCGGGGAGCGACTCTTTATACCCGGGGGCGTGGGTCCATATTATATATGTAATATATATGTAATATATATGTAATATATATGTAATATATATGTAATATATATTATGTAATATATATATATATACTTACACTTACACTATGTATTTATGTGTATGCACAAGGTCATCAAAAACTATCCTCAAGTTTAGGCACTGGAGGTGAAACCCAGAGCACCGGTCTCGTCGCGCTGGGGCGTTCGCCGATGGTCTTGGATCTGTCTTTGTCCGCAAGGGCGAACCACTGGGCGTCAGGGGAATGGTCACCCATGGGATCTTTGGGTTTTTGAGGGATCTAACCATCACTAGATCGGAGTGCGAATTGTTGGTATGCATGTTTGATTCTGTTGTGTTGTTTGCTTGCTTGCGTACTTGTCTATCAGTTGGTTTGTTGATTTGTTGGTTTGTCGGTTTGTTGGCTTCTTGCCTTTTTGTGCTATGTTGACTATGTTGGCTACGTTTTTTGTGCATGTTTGTGTGGGGGGGTCCCAAAAGATTGGACAAACTACCTCATTTGCGTTTCCTTTTGGGGGACCTATTGGTGGAAACCTATTCAATCCTATTTATATAGCTGTTTGATATTATTTGTTTCTGTTCGTTGATCCTTACGTATGAACACATCTACTTCATGTTGCTGGTTGTATCCCATTGTATTTCCACTCGCTTCGAGATTTGGGATGTGCGTTCACAATCTTTCACAGTTTCAAGCAGCAGCATCCAAATCATCCAACAACCCAGCCATATTTGGATGCTTCATACATGTTCATAGCATAAAAATGCTCGAAATGGGGATGGTTTCCTAACCATCCAGGGTCATCCAGAGTCTCACTGATTCGATCGCCTCGTTGGACAACTGCTGCGGGCTATCGCCCTGCGATGGCCATCGCTGGCTGATAGGGGATTCAAACAACACAAAGTGGGATTGAAGCCATTGAAGCAACAAAAATTGCGATCCAACATATCCAAGCATCGGATTTTCGGATTTCAGTTTGAAGAAAAATCTAGATCGTCTGGAGAGTTCTTTGCTGCTAGAAATCATTCATTGTATTCATAGCATCTTGGGAGAAGAAAAACTGGTACCCTCCTGCAATGACAAATTGAAGGGAACATCACCATTAAGAGTAAGAATTTTACCTTGTAACCCAACAATTGGTGGTTGTCTACGTTCATCCCCCCAGTCATATGGTACAATATTGATTGACACATCCCCATCTGATAGACACTGAATCAAATACATTCTAACCATGTGGTTGTTAGATGTTGATAGCCGAATGCTGCAATCCCATCATACAAGAATCGCTCACCCCTGAAAGCACGACTCGATCTCCTACTCCAAAAACCTGGAGGGACTAACATGAGTCAAGGCCGACCATTTTCCAAACCCACTTAAATCTGGGTTATCTGGGTTCGATGCTTGGTTTGCGAGAGGCTAGTTGTCCATCTTGGTAGGTTTGTAGTCTCCCATTCTGTCCCACCCGTTGCTCCCACGTTGGGGTGTTGGGGGAGTGTATCTAGTGATTGGTCCGCAACAATAATTAATCCGGTATTCAAAAAAAAAAAACTCAATCAAAGGAGCCCAAGTTGCTTCAAGTTTATGCCAGCGGGGGGAAAACCGCGCCAGCGTTTTAACCGTTTTTGAAAACACACATATTTTATCCGTAGCATGCACATCTTACGTTACGTCACTGGGTTGGGGGGTGGGGCATGTTAACGTTCATGTTAACTTGCGTCACATGCACATCTTACGTTACGTCACTGGGTTTGGGGGGTGGGGCATGTTAACATTCATGTTAACTTGCGTCACATGCACATCTTACGTTACGTCACTGGGTTGGGGGGTGGGGGATGTTAACGTTCATGTTAACTTGAATCACATGCAAATCTACGTTATGTCACTGGGTTGGGGGGGTGGGGCATTGTTAACGTTCACGTAATGGGTTGGGGGTGGGGGGATGTTAACGTTCATGTTAACTGAGTAAAGCAATCTTACGTTCGTCACTGGGTTGGGGGTGGGAGGTAACGTTTATGTGACTGCTCACTCAATTTCCGCGTCATGTACTCCCGGGGGGGGGGGTGGGGCTGTTAACATCATGTTAACTTGCGTCACATGCACATTTCTTAGTTACGTCACTGGGTTGCGGTGGTGGGGGATGTTAACGTTTATGTGAACTTGCGTCACATGCACATCTTACGTTACGTCACTGGGTTGGGGGGGTGGGGCATGTTAACATTCATGCTAACTTGTGTCACATGCACATCTTACGTTACGTCAGTGGGTTGGCGTTGGATGAACTCCAAGACGAAAAGTCTTGTGGAGGTCACAGGTCGAGCCTTGAAAGACCGTGTGGCAATCTGAGTTGGAAAAAAAGACCCGGCGAGTTTTCAGGAACAAATTCCCTGTAATTTCAGGTTTTCGTTTAAAAAACACTTCAAAATCCCGGGGAATTTTGAGCCAATTTTGGGGCATGAATCAGTAGTTTCGCTATGGCGAAAACGACATTTTTTAAAAAAACCCTCAAAACGCTGGCGCGGTTTTCCCCCCGGCGGGAAGTTTATCTAACCCTCCAAAAGATCAAAATTCATTGGGGATATAGTATATGGTTGAGGGTTTGGGGTTTACCACGTAATTAAGAATATCTGGCCCCATTTGTTTCCTTAAAATCGCATGTTTGGTGTTTGAGTCCTTATTTTTCTTGTTCAAATCCTTATCATCCCACAATGAACAAAATGATTGTTTTCGATCATCAATGCCATTGTGATTCATGATCGTTAGCGGTGTGGTTCTTATTATAATCATTATTACAATTATCGTAATTATCATCTTATATATATATGTACACATGTTCATCCATGTAATATATAAATATGTACGTATAAGCAACTATCGCGAATTATGGTTCACTACCCCCAAAAGAATAGTGGTGTAGAAACACTTAAAAATTATTGAGTTATAGTGCAATAACATATAGAAATTATTTTTGCGGGTAATTGTATTTGTTAGTGACACTACGCCTTAATTTCTGAATATATATATAATATTGTATATATATAATATTATATATATATATTGTTATGTGTTAGTGACACTAACATGTATACATATTAAATATATATATACTAGGGGATACTGATATATTGTTAAATCAGTTCCTCCATTATATACATACCTAAATAAGTGACACTACATATAATACTGTATAATGCACGTATTTTTATAACTGACATATCCGGGCAACTTAATATTTAATGTTGATATACTGCTAAGTAATTCTTACAGCGTCCGTAACATGTATATTAAATATGTATAGCAATAAATTCGCGATGTTTAAATCACTAACATCTCTCACCACACTTATGTGAGTGACACATATCTATATCTTAAGCCACTATTTCAAAAAGAAATGGGTATGGGTCAAAACTGAGTACCCGAAACAGTGGACGGTTTAGGTCCTACAAATATACATTCGAACCTGTGGCACCCCAGGCCTTAAATGTTGACTCATACCATTTATACCGATTCTCTGCAGCAAAATGTTGTATAGGTTATTTATAGCAATCCAATTTGTAAACTATACTTGGGGATAGTGATATGTGTTCTTCACACTATAGCTAGCTATCTGTAATTTATTTTTTTTGCAAAAAAAAATAGTAATAAATGTTAGTGACCCTGTATATAATATTATATATATATATATTACTATGCATATATTTCGGGTTAGCGATATTTTGTTCAGTCCTTTTTTCAGTGTCACTAACATATATCAATGTATGACTATGGCTATATGATATGTAGTGATATGTATTTAATGATGGGATACCCTCATTTTAGAAAAACCTCCATATAAAGCAACTCGTAACATATGTTTTCACTCCTCGCGAAATGTCAGGCCTTGCTGATGAGCACCTTCTGCAGCTCCCCAAAGAGTTCCTCCGGCGTCCGTTGAGCCGTGCTCCCTGCCTCGCAGCGGTGAGCAGCAATGTGTTGAAAAAAGATGTGGCTATGGATCAATACCTATGAAAATACCCATTTTTAATGGGATGAACATCCATAAATCCCAGCTATTTTGATGTGAACTACAGGGGTACTATTGGTTTTGACTCACTGCCATGTGGCTTTTGAAGGATTACACTTGTAATCATTTGAATGTCAATGAATATCAATGGCTAAGCATCAATAAACTTGAAAAACATGATTAAAGACTGATTGAAGCAGTCCAATTCGAAGTGTGTTGAAAAGTCACCATTGAAATTCCAAGTTGTTGATACGAGTATCTTAAAAAGGATTGTGAAAAGGAACATGGTCCCCAAACTTCCGACCTGCCCTCGAAGGATCTAAATCAGCTTCTCAGGAGGTCCTTGAAAACTAGAATAACATAGAATATCGACAGCAAATAATCCAGCTTGTTGTAAATACAAATCCTTGTAGAATGGGATGTTCATTGATGATTCCTTGCTGTCGCTGAGAACCCGAGACGCTGCAGAACATAAAAACTATAGGACCAAACCATCCAAGTCCATCCCTTCAGCCACAGTGGCACGAAAGCGGATGGTCGGAGTATATCCTCGGGCCTCGGAAAAACAGATTTCTGGGCCACAGATGTTACGGAGATGTTGATACCCCAACAGTTCCTGAAAATGGGAACCCCAAGAGTCCTCTTTTTTAGCAAGGAAAGCCATTTGGGGATCCCAAATGGGTTCTCCAAAGATGGAAGGGTTTGGTGCGAAAACTGACTTTTAAAAAAAATGAGCAATAATGGTCAAGGGCTCAAATTTTCACCCATACACATATTATACATTAAATTGTACAGTAGTGTTTGAGGGAATCCTCCAAAAGCCTAATAAGTGCGAATTCCAAATGGTCCCTGACTTGAGAAACATTTCCCAAAATCATTGGCCGCAGAAGGATGGAATCTCACGTGTCCACCATCACAGACAAGTGGTTTGATCATCCAACAAGCACAAAAAATTGATGTGCGCGCCCCTGCTGAATTAGACATACAGCGTCTCCACAAGCTCTTCTGCATCTGACATGATTGACCCTCCAAGCCAGACACATCAAACAAATGCCTTTTAAAGTCATGTCATGATGCCCCTTCAATGCTGATATTTTGGGGGTTCTAAAAATAATATGTTCAACCAGCTGTAAAAATAAAAAACAAATGTAATAATCGTGGGAAAATATCATAAATCATGGATAAATGTAAGCATCTCCATGGTGTGTATCCAAGTCAATAAAGGGACCAAGGTGCGAAGAGTTTCCTCCCCAGAAGATGATTTGCTCTCTGCAGCCCTCTACGCCACGCCATGCCCCTGTGCATCGCCATCGAGTTAGGAGCAACATCGCGCATCATGAAAAAAGGATTCGTTTAAGGGAAATCAATACTTCACCAAATTGGGATGATTGGTTGAATGAAATTGGTTTTAAGGATTGGGATGATTCCCAGTATTGGAAGATGTTCCCTTAACCGATACCGGGAATCATCCCAATCCAATCCATCACACTGAGGCAGAACATGACCAACAAACATGGAGTTGGTGAGTCAAAAAAAGGTAACATTGGTCAGCTAGCCAGGCAATAATAATCAGCCATAGAGCTTACCACCAAACACTTCAAGATCGTCCACTCTTTGGGGGGTTCCCAGCACAGACGGCACAGACCTACATCCACAAAGATGACTCACCCAGCTCACTTATCTCTCCTGTAGCGGCGACTCTGTCGCACCGCGTCTCCGAGGCTGTTCCACGGGCGACAACAGTGCATCACAGCGGCATCTGCAGCTTGATGTCAGGCACCAGCTGCAGAAACTCTGCTGATCAGCCCTTAAAACTTGAAATGGCCGTTCCACCAATCGTAGCCGGTTCCAAGTTAAAACCATAGCAAAATGAACCAAGAATGATCTCAGACCCTGGTTTGCCTGTGTCGACATATTGTATGTATCTATGTAATTCTATGTGTGTATACACGCATGCATTGGCCAAAAAAAATAACAAAATTTACTGCTACACGTGTTTTTTCACATGTATGATAAGGTCTCACATGCTTTCCTCAGTGTAAGATCTGCATTTTCAGCTCCCCAGTTTGGGGTCACATGGTTTCAGACCCTGGTTTGCCTGTTTCGACGAATTGTAAGCATGTGTATGTGTAATAGATGTATATACACTTAAATATATATATATGAGTGTATAAGTATGTGTTATTATAAATGCGTTTTGCTCAAGAAGAATGTCATGGATGATGATGACTATGAAGAAGATGATGATGATGATGAAGTGGCCGACCAAGCAAAGGAAGAAGGCAGGTTTTCACATCATCCAAAGCCGCGGTTGGAATGGTCACGGCGATCGGTGCGGTGCGTCTTGTGCGGAACTGTGGAACTGAAAACGGCTGGGTCTCGTTGTGCTTTATGTTACAGTATGTTCACATTACAATCTGGGAAATTTGATTTCAAACCCTCGGCTCCATTAGAAGAGTCTGTTGGATTGGGTGGTTTTTTTTTTAAATATGTACGGCACCATTGGGCCGGGTCTGATATCATTTCTCCGTGGTTTTATGTTGGTATGTTCACATCACAAGGTGGGCAAATTCATTTCAGACCCCCGGGCCCATTATATATAAGATTTGGCTGGATGTTTCGCATGTACCACGCCATTTGGCTCGGGGCTCACAGGTTTCAGTTGTATTTTCATGTGAATATGTCAATGCTGAGTTGGAAGTTTTGCTTCAAACCACAAGTACATTCGAAAAGTTGAATGTGTTCTTTGTGCGTACGACACCACGCGGCTCGGTCTCAAATGTTTCTCCTTGGTTTTATGTCAATATGTAAATTTCAATTCAGACCCTCGGTATACCCCAAGATGAGAGCTTCTGCCATGACGCAAATAATTTGCGTTTTTTTGCAAAACCACAGAGATTATTGTAAGATCTGAAATGATAACACCCCAAAAGGTCTTTATTGGTCTTGAGGTCGAAGCCTTATATGGTGCATCCAAGATGATAACGTCTACAATGGTCAGACCCCTAAGGTCTACAACGCAATGAAAAACAAATTCAGACCCTAGCACTTTGGGGGGCACCCCCTCATTCTAGACCCTTTCTAGTTGAGGGTATTTACGAAGTGGGACAGTCATCTTGCGGGCCTCAAACCCGGATCGCGCAGGCTGACGCGCGTCAAAAGGTCAAAGGTATCTGGCTGTGAGTCAAAATTGTGTACGGAACGTTCTGCGGTGTTCCGGACGTATGGAACGAACGGGCTTCGCAACTGGTCTTGTTCCGGACCTTTGGGGTGTGATGAAATATAGGCTTTACAAAAATCAAATAAATAAATCAATAAATAAATATACATATATGTACGTATATCATATGTCATATACTGTCACATACATCTCAAGGATATGCATGTTGAAGCTACTCGCGCTAGCTGCCGCTCGTTTTCACTTCTCACCTGCACGTTATCCTTATTGTACACCTGTTCAAGGCAGCTTTGCCTTGGAAGGCTAGTGCTCGTGCACTAGCTAGGACACGACCGGTAGCCAGCGTTACCCACTGGGTACCATGTGAAGCTGTCCACTCAGCTTCAGACCTATCACGCAGGTCCCACCTCCCACTCTTAAAACTCAGAGGTTCCCATGGGGTATATTGTGTCTGCGTAGCAAGAATATAGACTCCCATAACCCACGCGCAAAGGATGGTTTGCGAGCAGTTTATGTGAGATCCTGCCATTTGCCCGGGGAGTGGGTCAGGGGTGGTACGTGGGTGGTCCGGGTCTGGAACGGGCATGGAACAGTGGAACAGGGTCTGGAACGGGGTCTGGCGAACCGGCCCAGCACTGCCACCGCAGCACATCTTTATCAAAATTGGCAGTTTGGAGCGAGAGTAGCGCAGCAAGCGATTCTTAGACTGCCAGCTGGCAGCAGCCATGGCAGAGATGCCATCAAACAGCACATCTGTGCCACAGCGGGCAGCAACTGTAAGTGGTGCACGCGCAAACCTGCCACAGGTTGAGAGGGAGGGAGGGTCACAAGCAATCCATTCTTTGACTGCCAGCTGGCAGCAGCCAAGCACATCCCTACCAACACACAACAAAGTAGGTAGCTGCTGTAACTGCTGCAGGCACAGACTTGCCAACACAATCTTGGGCATTAAAAAAATATTCTTGCCTGTATGCACTCATGTATGTATGTGCGCTCATGTATGTGCGTGCAAATGTAAAATTATTGCACATGTTCAAATATATATATATATATGTATATATATATTATATTATTTATTATTAATATATACGGTATTATATACGTATCATAATGTATGGATCAGAAGTATGGAAAGGATCCTTCAAACAGGTATGGAACCGGGTTATGGAACGGGTGTTGTCCCGGACCTGTTGCCGGACCCTATAATTTGACTTGCACCCTTTTTGCTGTCCAAGAACTGGCACATACCCAGCTGCTGCTTGTCAACTGCTGGGAATCAGCACTAGGCACAGGTGCACAGAATGGGTTGAAAATGGTAAATCATGGGAAATTGCCATGCGTGGCTTTGTGACGAACAGGACCACCAAACTTCCAAAACCGATATGGATGATTGAAACACGCCAGTAGATTGGCCAACTGTTCAAAATATCACCTTGCCTTCGCAATTTTCCCCTGTCTTGAAACGTGAGGGTCAGCCAGAATGGCAGCATGCAGCCAATTGAGCACACAAAGCGCAGACTTCAAATTGCTAGCAGACCTGGCACTTCCGAAATCGAAAAGTAGAGTCGGGTGTCTCCAAAAATGAGGAACCCTTTTTCATCACCAAATTGTTTTACCAGTATTCTGGAAGGACGGGGGAAAAAGAATCATCCAAAAGGCTTCCCATCACCAGAATGAGAAAGTAGGTAGAGGTCAAAACCCAGCCAAACATTGAAGATGTTGATCCCCCCTTGCAAACGGCCCTTAGGTCTTAGGTACTGACCCATCAACACATGTTTCATATGTCTGTTCATTAACCTGGCCATACTAACTAACCCTCCATCCCCGCATGATTGGGGTATGCCTCCATCTTTGGACACTCTTGAAGAGGGAGGCTCCAGTCTGGTGGCCACATCAATCACATGGATCACCGGAAAAATGCCAATGTTGAACCTACAAGACCTACCAATAATGGGCATTGAACCAAGCAAAAAGAATGCCATGTCACGGGGATGCCTGAAACTCCCGGGTGGGTAAGAACTACCTCAAGCCCTAAGTTTGAATGTATAAATGATCCCTATCCTTCAACCCCGCGGCCTCGTTGGTGGGGTTCCGGGCCCTTCACTGCAGCTGGCACCCGGGCTTCGCAGGCTTCCCTGGCTTCGCCATTCGCATCTCCGTCGACGTCTCGTCCTCCGACGACCCGCTGCACGTGGGCGCGTTCTCGGAGCCGCTGGCCGCACTGGCCGCGCTGGCCGCGCTGGCTGCACTGGGCCCGCTGGACTTGGAGTCGTCGGAGCTCTCCAAGAATTTGATGACTTCCTGGGAAAGGGTTGGATGAATTTTTGAGACTTAGGTTTTGCAACAATCTCTGGGAGAGAGGAAGGCGAAACACGATGTTCCAAGGATATCCTTGTCGGGACAAGGATCATTTGCCCAGCTTTGCAACCCAACAGCGAAAGGTTCCAGCAAGGTTCCAGGACTGTTCCGGAAATTCGGGGCGTGCATTTTCGATCAGTTTCGTGTCACCAGTGGCCCCAGAGATTGAAACCCAACAGATTCGCTGTTGGGAATAAAATGATGACTTGAATTTTTTTAGTACAAGTAGGTGATTCAGTGGGGATTGAATCATTTCCAGGAAGATGACAATCCATTGGCTCCTAATGATCGTGACAGTGGTTTCACTGTGTCTCTCAAATCGTATATGATCCCATACATAGTGAAGAAGTGCGCTGAATTGCATTGCCGCTCTGCTCTACTTCGATGATACAGCGGACTAGAACCTGAATGGTTCTGCCCCTAGTGGAGTTCCACATGGGAAACCTTGTGGGTGAACTTTGAATGTGGGGTCTGCTGGGTAGCCCCCCAGCTGAACAAGATAGCCCTTGGTTTCCCCCAGAGCAAAAAAAACATGGCACATTGCCACAGATCAACCTCATAAATCATCCCCTCCAAATCCCCAAAGCCAATATATAACTGCAACAAGCGTCGCACCAAAGTTCCTTTTCCACCGTCTGGTTCACAAACTCGAAGGATCCATGGTCCTGCGTCCCAGGAAAACAAAACATGACACGACTCATTCTTCATGCCGCAACACAGGAGTTTCTTACCCAATGTTCCAAGAAAATCTCTCTTTTCCCATAGGTTGAAAAAGCCCCTCTCTTATACTTCCTCCACAAGCATTACTGGAGGGTTTTACTGTCTGGTCGACGTTGTTTGCGTGCCAAAAAATAATGTCTTACCCCCCCTCAAAAAAAATAGGCCAATCTCCTCATTTTCTTCGGTTGCCTCCCCTTTTTTCCGGGTCACCACCCCTCTTTTGTTGCCATTGTGGCAGCCTCCATGATGCGTTGCTTGATGGCCACTGCATCCTCCGGCACGGACGCCTGCGCGCTTTGCGCATCCACCCGGCATTGCTTGGTGAGTTCCTGCAGGGTTTCGATGCCGTCCCCGTCCAGCTCCAGCTGTGGTAAGATCACGGTGGTGGGGATGCTGCGCGTGCACGCCACGAAGACCTGGTTGGAGATGAGGCAGCTGGGCAATTGATGTGTTCGAAAAATCAGCAAAAATTTGGAAAATTTGAGAAAATGCGTCAACAAATAAATTCGGAAATTCACTTGGTTTTATTTTAAGACGGTCACGCCAGAAAGAGATCGGTTTTGAAGGATCGGAATCAGCAGCAGGAGATACAGTAATATGATGAATTCTAATCAGAAATCCAGGGTCGAAGATCATGAACAAGTTTATGGCTGAGAACAGAACCACCGGCATATCACCGGCGAGAAACAGGCCACTGGACAGCTGCGGCGGTGTTGCCAAGATTGAAGCATGACGCATGGAATATGCTGCCAAATCCAATAATGAAATGCGCATGGACCAAAATGATGTCGAATACCTTTAAAAATTGATGGTTCCATACACAGGATTTCCAGCTTTGCGCTTCGTTCCATTGATATCAACACACCTATACCATGCAAAATCCCATCTCTGAGAGTTTGAATCACCACCCAACTCCGAGCCTCAAAGATACACCAGATACGGGTAGTGTAATTCCCTTCCTTCATTTTGTCCAAGCACATCAACATTTTGCCAATGCCCGCCAGCTGGCGACCGAACACATCGAAGAGATTCGTGGCCTCCTGGGATATGGCACTGGCCAGATCTACTGAGCAATGGGAGGATGCAATAGTGTCGCAGCCGCAACATCTATGCACACGCACTGTGTGTGGGGGAGTGTGGGCGAGAACCTTCGAAAGTACGAGCGGACATGTGGGCCGGAAAAAATTAGAGTAACAGCATTATGCCAAAGCGAGCTCAAAGGAGTAGAAGTTCGTGCCATTCATCATGCAACAGTGGTTTTCTTGGCCCCAGGATTGGGGCCCCAAATTCGGAGTTTGCCGTGTCTTCCGCAAAGAGCGCGGTCTTTATTTTGGGACCAAAATTGGACGCGTTTTTGGAGCCAAAAAACATGTTGGCGAGAGTGCTTTTTTGGACAGACATGGGAACACCACGGTGGAGTGGCAACATGGCAAGATAGAAAAGGCAAGGGACGGGTCAATGCGGAATGTTGTAGGTGTGCTTGGAACACCTGAAGCCATGCGATTGCTTTAATTTGAAGGGTTTTTGCTTTAATTTGAAGCTCCATTTTCTGAGCCGCCTTGCGCACACTTCATCTGAAGAGGGCGCAAAAAGTAAGAAGTGACAACTTGGAGGTAGAAAGGCCAATAACCCTCACCTTTCAAATTCTCGCGTAACTGGTACCTTTGCAAAGTGCTCGTTTCCCAAGGCATTTTCGCAAAGTACTTTCAACACCGGCTGATCATGCCTCCATTCCCTGTGCCTCAAATGGCGAACCTGCAGGCTCAAGATGCTCACTATTGATCACCTAGAAGACTGCTTTTAATCAACGTGTCAAACTAATGATAACATATTCTTGTGACCATCATCAATGACTGTTTTCACTCTTCAATTCCAGTCAAATGGCTTCAACCAAAGTGCGGGAAAAACTTGAATTTGCCGTGATTTTAGGGTCATCTGGAATGCGAGAAAATTGCAAGATTTCCGACATGCAACTCGCGGCCCTTCCGCTCATAGCTGTCTAGTGCCAGACCCCTTTACGGCAATGGAAAATGTGCTTCAAGAGTCCCTTGCGTAAAGCGCCCTGCTAATGCGGAATGGGAGGGTTAGTAGTGGCAGGATTCTTGATCATAAATCCCTTCCCCCTACTACTAGACGTACCCACATACTAAAAACTAGGCCCGTTCTCAATTTTTTGGGGGGGTTGTCAATTGCATGCCCCATTTGTGCCACTTGAAAAGTAATGGGAAACCGACATACCCAAAAATGTAATATTCCCCGTAACAATAAAAGCTAATCAACCTTCCCAGCCATGCTTCTGCTGTCTGGCCCTCTTCCAACATTCTGAACCTAGGCAAACACGCCATGGTCATTGAACACGCACGAAATTGGTGCAAGTTGGGTTAGGAATCCTGGTGTGTGTGTGTGTATGTGGTGTATTTATCTGTTTCTTTGCACCAAAGATATTGTGTAGTTTATAAGGTATTATGGGTTATTCAACCACTTCTTGGGATTACTATGGACTGCAACATGAATAGATCTACCTACCCCAGTCTTAACCATGCACAAATAGTTTTGACAGAGACGGATGCCCCCGGCTTTGGGACCAAGCCAGACTACCTTCACTGCATTTACTGTGCGTGGATCAAAAGCCTGCTGCCTTCAAACAAACATGGGAAAAGGAGGACAGCATGTCTTCAGACTCGTCTCATATTCCTACTGGACCTTCGCTGCTTGACTCCGCAAATTTTCCGGCCAGCAACTGGTTGTTCACCATCACGCACCACCAGATATAGACATCGCCACAGACGTCTCCTGAGATGATCTGATGCCTTTTCCACCAGCGCGAGAGGGCACCGAAGACCGTGGAAAATTTGTAGCCCCAAACCCAGGAGAGGAACCATGTGGCTCTTCCACTGCGCCTTGGGAATGGAGACTTGGATAAGAATTGACAGTATTCGGGGAGGTTCCCCAGAAAAAGAACTGGGAACTTAACCACACATAAAATGGATTTAACCAACAGAGGTTGAGGAATTTGTCAAGCGTCCAAGATCAGATAAGGATGGTTCTTTTTTTTGACTGCCATGGTTCCGTGCCAGACTTGAGGCAGATGGATGAAACCGCGGGCATGCGACGGCGATAAAGTTGGAGGTAGGGGCGAGCGTGACCCTAGGGCAGGGGCGAATGTGACCCCACCTCGTTTTGCGTGGCAGGCGCAATAGTTTCAGGTCTCGAAAGGATTGTTTTGCAGCTGTGACAGTCAGTTACGACGTCTTTTTCACATGTTACGTTGTGACATCCATTTCAAGTAACTCCCAAAACGCTGTGGGTGCTACGTTGTAACATCCATTTCAAACAACTCCAAGACGTTCCGGATCCTACACTGTAACATTCATTTGAAGTCAGTTCCGAGACGCTCTGGATGCTACGTTGTAACATCCATTTCAAGCAACTCCAAGACGCTCTGGATCCTACACTGTAACATTCATTTGAAGTCGGTTCCGAGACGCTCTGGATGCTACGTTGTAACATCCACTTGAAGTCACTTTTAAGACGCTCTGAATGCTATGTTGTAACATCCGTTTCAATCAGCTTCCACGACGCTCTGGATGCTACGTTGTAAAATCCACTTGAAGTCACTTCCAAGACGCTCTGGATGCTATGTTGTAACATCCAGCTCAATCAACTTCCAAGACGCTATGGATGCTACGTTGTAACATTCATTTGAAGTTAGTTCCGAAACGCTCTGGACGCTACGTTGTAACATCCACTTGGAGTCACTTCCAAGACGCTCTGGATGCTATGTTGTAACATCCATTTCATTCAACTTCCAAGACGCTCTGGATGCTACATTGTAACATCCGATTTCATCATGTGTGGTTGCAGTGTCTGCATGTGAGCAGACGATGCTTTAATTGGGCCGGGGGTTCACTTGGACCCCCCCAAAGCCCCTCATCTGGACCCCCCCCATTTTAGGGGGCGAGAGGGCGGCGAGAGGGGGCGTCCAGACGAGTGGCTTTTGGAAAGGGGGGCGAAAGGGGGCGAG